TGAGCCTGGTTGGATGGGAACTGTTGTCACTGAAGAGCTCCCTGTGGTGGAGGACTCGGAACACAAGAGGTTCCTCTGTCGGTGACACAGTCGATTAGAGTCAGGGAGACCCTGTGGCTGCTGGGGGCCTGGCAGCTTCCCCAGTGCAGCCCTTCTCACCTGTGTCCATGCGCACGGGCTTACATTGCAGGCTGGGCGCCTCGCCTCATCTCGGGGGACAGGGAGGGGCGCCTGGCCCAGCTCAGGGGTGTGGTCTCGGCGCCACGTCCTGGGCAGTGGTGCTTGGGGAGGGAGGGTTTTACTTGCTGCCGGTTGTGTGTGGTCTTTGTCTTGGGTGGTGGTCCCTCAGCAGTGTTGGTGACTGGATCACAGGAGGGGTGTGGAGGCAGCTGCACACTTGTCACTTCTTATGCCGTTCCTGTCCATCTGGTGTCACCATCACTTCCCTCATTTGTGTGCAGAGTTGCTGGGCAGCCCATGGTGGCGCCCGGGGCCTGGCTTGCTGCCTGGCATCAGGGTGCTGTGCTCTCGTTGCAGGACCTCGGCGTGACCAAGGTGGGCCACATGAAGAGGATCCTGTGTGGCATCAAGGAGCTGAGCCGCAGCCCCCCTGCCACCGAGGCCTAGCCTCCGCCCTCTCGGCCTGCGTCCTCCGTTCCTCCTGCGACTGAGGCGGGGCCCGTCCTGGGCCCTTCTCATGGTGCTATTTCTACGCCCTGTGCTCGTGACAGGAAGCCTCTCGGACACTGTTCCTGGCCAGCTCCAGGGCCTCGGGCACACCAACATGGCTACCTTTGGACACGCACCATTCTAACCCAGTGGTGTACGTGGTGACCGTGCCACCACCTCTCTGCTCGCTGACCTACGTCCTGGGCCAGGTCTGGCCTCCCTGGCCCCTGGCATCCCAGCAGAAACAGCCTGGCTGGGCTGCACACAAGTGTCCCAGGGCTCCTCTCTGCCCTTTCATAGCGCGTTGTCAGGCACCGTCTCCCGCCAGCCACTCATGGTTCTCCACAGAGCCCTACGAGGCCGCCACCCACTGCAAATGTCCCTGCTCATTATGAGGTCCTGCCTTCCCTGGTTCGTAGGCACTGTGGATGCGTTTCCAGTCCTGTTCATTCAAATGTGACGTGAAAAGAAAGGAACACTTGCTCCTCCTGGAGCTGGTAAACAGGTAGCCACGTTCTAGGGCTGATGAAGCCCTTCCCCTATGTCTCGGGTCCCTCCTGAGCTGCGGCGGGGGACTTGGTCCTGTGTGTCCAGGATGCAGTAGCCTCGGTGCTGTCCGGGGCCGGGAGCACCCGATGGCCAGTGGCCTCCCTGCAACGGAGGCTGTGTGTTGCACGGGGTCAGTATTTCTCTGGAGACAGCATGTCCATTCTGTGGGACAACAGGCTGCTGCCCGGGCTGTCCTGAGAGCCTCTGACCCGTGGGTGGCTTCTCGTCTGGTGCTGCCAGGCCCCAGGTTCCTGGAGGTGTCGGTGCCTGTGTAGCTCTGCAAGCCGTCACTGCCTTTGACTTTGCCCCTTGCTGCCCTTCCAGAGACAGTCACACCTTACAGGGCTCTCTTCCACCCTGGAAAGGGGGTTCTACGACCCCCACCCCTGGGTGCCAGGATCCCGCATCCCAAAGGGGGGGGGCTGACCTTGTGAGGGGACTGGGCAGGAGGCCTCAGGGCGCTGTCCAGAGTCACCCATAGGGGCCCCTTGGGGACTCACAGCTGAACAGCATTTACCTGCCACTCACTTTGCAGACCCCTCTGACCAGCGTGCCCAGTGGGTCCTCCCTGGGCCTGGCCAGGCACCCGTCTCTGGTTTGGGGGTGCTCGCACTGGTGGTTCTTCTGGGTGCCCAATCCTGTGCTCACGTGTGGCATTGTGGCGGGGTTTGGAGAGCCCCGTGTTCTACACATACCTTCATTGGAGGTGAGGCCAGGTAGCTGTGTCTGCCTTCCCTGCCTCGTGATTCTCTTCCCCATCAGAACAGCTGAAGGTGAAGAAAGGCACTGCCCTGTTTGAGGTGGGCACCTGGATTCTAAGGTTCCCAGGGCGTCTGGATGGGACGGGACAGGCTGGAGCTCGGGGAGTTGCAGGGGGAGTTAGGTTTGGGTCATGTGTGGTATTTAAAGTTAACACTTTGTCAGTGATGAAAGCAGCACTGTTTACATAAAAGCCATTTTTAAAAATCTCGTCAGAAGCAAAGGAATGAACGTCCGTTTTGCATGAAGGTGCGTCAGTGAAGGGCGGGCATCCGTGCCTTGTGGTGTCTTTGTGGTTGCACGTGGGGCTGTACCTCTGCCCGCTCCAGCACCCCTGCTGTGTCCTAGGGTGGGGTGTCTGTCAGTGTGGAGGCAGGAAGGATACCTGGAGTGTCTTGGAGAAAAGGTTTTGTGTTCTTGGGTGGACTCACCCTCATATTTATGATCTTAATTTATACAGCACTCACCGTGGAGCATATGCCTGCTGTGTTGCTATGTACATAGTCCACGTCAGGGGTTGTAAATAAGTGGTTGTGTGTGTAAATAAAAGAAGCCTGTTTTGGATCTCTCATTGTCTGATTTCTTGTCCTCATTCCTTGTACTTTGACATAAAATGTCGGTTGCCAAAATCCTTCCAAACTCCATCAGAATGACATTTTTCAGCTGCTCTAAAAACAAGTTGAATTTGTTCATCATAGGCTTTTCTGCATTAACTTTGATTTCCAAAAGTATTGTATTGAAAATGATTTAGCTTGCTTACTGAGTTTTTGGGTGCCTTTACATTTTGTGCCCAAGGTCTCACCGTACCCTAGTGCTGGCCCCGTGCTGTCTAATCTAATTTTGAGCATTTCTAAGATTCTTAGCTTTTGTGGAAGCCACTGCTTGATGCCTGCAAACACCAGGTCTCCTTTCCTTCCTGCACCGTAGTGGGGAGAGGGCTGTGCCCAAATATGCCCTGCTGCTGTGACCATGTATCCTCTGCAGCTTGACTGACGTGACTTAATTTTGGTCAAAAAGATTCAGTATTTACTGGGATTTCCAGAAAGTTTCCTTAAAAACCTGGGAGCATGCCTTTCTTTCCTCCTGCTGCAGGCCTGGAGGGTGGGCTTGATGGCTGGTCCTCCAGCAGCTAGCTTGGGCCATGGATGGCTTGAGAATGGAAGCGAGTATTGAGGTTGATGATTCTGTTTGGGAAAAGCAAAAGCTTTTTTTAGAGACATGAGTTACAGTGATTTTGCAGGTGTGGGGCCAGGGCCCCTACAAGAGATGGGTGAACTGGTGCAGAGAAAGCTGAGCAGACTGGGCACATCTGAGCAGATGGTTGTGGTGTGGAGGCCTCAATGGAGGCGTGGTCTGAGCACTGAGGTGGGCTGCACAGGGGAGCTGCTGGGGGGGGGGGGGGCGGTGGGTGGAGGGGCAGCTCTGACTGTATCAGCCCCGCCAGGGTGCTGGCCTTAGAATCTGTCTGTATCAGGCAGAAGCGAGTGCTCAGCCTCCTCAGTTTGGATCACAAAAGCATGAACGGGTTGTAGACACATGGAAGGTGAGCACTGGCGGGGAGGTAAAGGCTCCCTGGCTCACGTTGTTCAGAGGCAGATTCAACCATAAGTCTCTGAGCCATTAAGGAAATGGTGTTGCCAGCCAAACTCCAAGCTGGCAGACGAAAGCCTGTGCTCACTTGGTCCCCAGGCACCTCAGCCCCTAGGCCTCCAGGATGAGCCGCCTCGGGAAGGCAGTGCCTAAGTGTGAGGTTCTCCCAACACCCATGGAAGGTGTACCCACAGGGAACATGGATGTGCGAGCCTTTCTGAAGAACAGGGTGGCCAGCGCAGAGGGCAGGGGCTCACCTCACAAGTGGGCGGGGAGTTCGTGCCATCGTGTAGCAGCTTGGGCTGTGACTGCTGCACTGGGCGTCTTCTGTTTCTCGGAAGAGAGGTTTCATTGTGGTCATACCACTCGTTGTGTACTTGGTTCCAGGCTGGGCTTAACATCTCATTTAGCTGTAGATTGAACCTTGAGGTGTTACATCCCAGAGGACCTTGTTGTCCTCCCCCGAGACGGTGGGGAGCAGGAGCTGCCTGTGGAGGGGGACGTGTGGTCTGCTGGTAGGTGGACTAGCTGTTAACATCAAGTTGGGTGCTGTCACATTTGATGTTTCTGTTTGGGGTCTCTTGTGGGCAACCCCACCTGCCTTGCTCTCCCTCCGCTTTTATTTGAATGGAGTGACAGCAAGGTGGGCAGGGCACCCACTTTGAGCCCATGGGTGTCAGGCCCAGGACTTTTACAGGCCCTAGAGTGAGGCAGAGCCTGAGAGGATGCCAGTGTAGCGCTGCTGGTGGCGTCTCGCCACCTGGGGAACCTCTGGGAGGTGGAAACCAGCAGAGAAAGGCACCAGCGCCTGGGACAGCTGCCGCAGCTCTGCTGTGAGCTCCGAGGTTCATGAGCCAGGAGTCCTCAGGCCAGCCGCGCTGAGGGCTGGGTCAGCGCCACAGGGTGCCTGGGTGGGAGGGGTGAGCACTGGAGGGAATGGAGACATTTCTCCCTCCCGACCTGTGTGAATTTCACTGCTTCACTTTCCTCTTTGAAAGGTAGTGAGTCCCCAGAACACAAAATGAGTTTGTTGTGTACTTGACTGACTCGCATTACTGCCCTGCTTTAGATGTGACACAATCAAGAACAGAATCAGATGAGCTGCCGTGCCCCTCCCCGATGGGGTGAACGGCCTGTGAAGCCATAGTTATGGATTACTGGAATTCTTGTAACCCCTTTTGGCAGAAAAATGTCAGGGCGAGTAACTGTCTTCTGCACCTTATGCCAGTTCTGTTCCCTAGAAGGAAAAGGCCACTGCAGTTTCTTCACAGTTTTTCCCAGGAATGTGAACTTATTTAAAACCAAAACATGCTTCTGTTGTTTCTACTGTGGTCCCGATACAGTATTTCCAAATATAAACCATGCTTATTTAGCATCTGACATGCACTCGGGAAAAAAGTCCAAGTGGAACATGAAGCAGTCAGCTTAAAATGGAACGTGAAGACACTTTATTTGTTCTTTATTAAATTGTACAGCTCTCTCTGCAGCCCCAGTGCATCGCAACTTTAAGAAAAAAGGGAGCTGGAGGCCCCAGTGGCTCATTGCGGACGCTAAGGCACACACACCCATCCCCCTCTGTCTTGGTGAGTCACATCCAGTGAGGTGTCTGGCTTCTCAACAGCAAAGCTTTCAGTTACTACATTACTTCATTACCTTAAAATGACACGAAGGGTGCAGCAGGAGACATGTCAGTCACAGTAAAAGGAACAGGAGAGTTTGCACGGAGGGCTGGGCTCCCAGCCACCCTGAGCTCACAGTCCGGGATCTTCACAAACACGCCGCCACCCCAAGTGCGCATCCTGAGACGGGCTGAGTGTTGAGAACATGGGGGCAGCTTGCTAGTGAAAGTCCAACTTCTTACAAATTAGCAGTTTAGACCCAACAATCTCAGACAAATAGGGAGGAGACTGAGGGTTCCAGCTGGTTCTGATGAGGCTGGAAGGGGGACAGGAGGCAAAAGCGGGCTCATCCAACCCAATATCCACTTCCTCTCTCAGCGAGCGGGACAGGAGACCTCGTCCGTCCACCTCTGAACATGGAAGTGCTATCTTAATGTCGGTGATGAAGGGCTGATGAGAGATTTGTGTGACGTTGTAACCGTACTTCGCCTTGTTGGAGGCATAAAAGTGAAGAATTTACTTTCTTTTCAGGAATCCCACTTTTGACTGAGTTAAGTGAATCGTCTGTGTCCTAAGTGTCAGTCGGCTCGTAACACAGATGCAGCATTTGTCATAAATGCCAGTGACACCTTTTAAATCCATAGCTGGCCATGCTGAAGGGAAAGGAAAAGGAGCTTGTGCACGCTTCCTTTGTTTGTTTCAGGAGAGGTTTCTCGGACCATTAGCACAGCGCACAGGCTTCCGGAACGTTCTGATCATGGACGACACACTTTGAACTAGAACAGACTCCCTGTGTGTCCTGCACCAGCCTGGCCAGCCCATCCGTGTGCTGAGCTCTCAGAAGCTCTGAGTGCAGACACTACGCTGTCTGGTCAGTGAAGGGAGGAGAGATGACTGTGTGCACTTCACTGGCCAACATGCTATGCGAGCCTGGAGTCGATGCAGAACTAGGAATGTTCTTGTAACTGTGGTGGCTGGGTCCAGTGCAGTCTCACTGGCACCTGTGAGACAGCCCAGCTGGGAGTCCCTCGGTGGCCATGCTGTGCAGGCCGGTGAGAAAGTGCACTTGCCTGGCCTGAGACCAAACGTCCCTCTAATAAAGTGGAAGCAGCCTACAAGCCTGCTCTCACGGAACCACAAGCAAAGTTGGCAGGGGCGGAGTCCCCTGCTGGCCAGGCCCTGGTACCAGTTCCGACTGAACCTGAGCCCACAGGGACCTCAGCGGTGCCGGCGCTATCTGAAACTCCCCACGTGGATGGACAGAGAAGCTTCTGGTCTGTGGGGCCGGCCAGGTGTCTCTGCACTGGAGAGAAGGCTGTTGCTCTGCACGCGAAGTGCTTCCAGGCTGCGGGAGACAGAGGCTGTCACCAACTCACAGTCACAGACACGGGGTCCACCCAGGTCGGGTGTGGAATGACTTCAGGAGACCAAAGTGGGGAGTGAGTAAGGAGGACGGGCACCCCCGGTGTGGCCTGCATGGAGGTGACGATGCAGTGGTGAGCTGGGTCTGGGCACTGGGGTTTGAAGTGTGGGTTTCAGAGGATATTTGGAGGTCCTGGGAGGTACAGGTGGCCCAGAGGCCAGGGGAGCAAGCCCACTGTACACAGAAGAGGAAACGGGGAGAGCAGGGCGCTTAACCCCGGAGGGGCCTGGCAGGAAGAGGCCAGTGAGGTGAGGCAGCTCTGGAGCAGCCACCGGGGGCAGGTGACAGCTGGTGGACCTGTGATGGGGAATGCCCGTTTTCAGGTGACTGAGCCCTCTGTGTCTGAAGGAAAGACCCAGAAAGTTGGGGGGGAGGAGGGCGGAGATGAAACTGTGTGGCTGTGTCCTCGAGGTGAGGCTGTGAGCATCTCTGTCCCAAGCTCACAGGCCTGGTTCATGTTCTAAAGGACACGAAGTTTCTCCAAAGCACTCAGCCCTGTAATGAGACCTGAGGCTTTGGCCAGAGCTCTGAGTAAGAGCGAGCCGTCCAGAGGCCTCGGCACCCATGAGACAGTGAGAAACCTCACGTTACCTTTTCCTTTTTCCCAGAGCAGGGTCCTCCCTCCCAATGTCATCTCGGACTGTGCTGAAGTCATCGTCCTCTTCCACCAGGAGATTCTGCATTTCAAAATAAGGAAGGAGCCACGTATTCAGACATCGTTTTAGCCTACATTTGAATAAAGAATGTAAATTTATGTGAAAATTACCTAAACCAACATAAGGATATATCCACCTTTACGTAAACTGGATTAATAACTGACAGGAAACACTCTAGTGCCTGATGACAGACTGAGTGGCAGGCAGAGCAGAAGTGACTCTGGAGCCACCCAACCTTTGCTTGTGACTAAAAACGCTGCCCCTGGAGTGAGCCCCGCACAGGCCCCATCAGAACGACAGGGAGAGGCAGAAACACACTGTGGTCTGGGGGCAGCCATGTCCACCTGGCACCTCCAGCTCCAGTGGAGCTGCCGAAAGGCGCACCCGTCTGACTTCCTGGGAACCTCCTGGAAGTGTCTGGCAGTGCGTTATAGACGCAGGACGCTCAGCATGGCCTCCTGAGGGACGAGCGCTCTCCTAGTGCTTGCCGTCAGTTTTACATCTGAATTTATTTACCATCTGAATTTATTTACCATAAATACTGGCCACCCTCAGTGTGAACCAATCAAAATGTTAACCTGAAGGAAGATAACCCCGAAGGACAGCACAGGTCAGAGGACCAGACGGCTCTGGGGGAGCTGACTGGGTCACCTAGGCTGGGACCTACACAACTGCAGGGCTGCCTGCTTCTGCTCTCGGGAGAAACTATCCCAACAAATACTGTCACCTCCAGTCCAGTAACTTGTACATGATGTGCTTTTGTGAAATCATGAAAATACAGAGATAATGGGACAGACACCATGTCCCCAGGGTAGTGAGGGCTGGGCATGGCCCTGCAGTTAGCTCCCTCCTTCCCCTGGCTGCCATGAGGAAACCTGAGTAAATGTGTGCATGGCCTATAATAGAATTATCAGTGAAAGTTAGCAATTAGTGCTAAACTTTTACCATATTTGCTTCATTTTAGTATTTTCCAAGGAAAAGACAGACTCGGTTGATGCCCACCCCTGCTCCAGGTAAGCCCACCATCAACTGGGTGCTAGTGTTCTGTCTGCATTGCCATTCGATGGCAGCACAGGAGGCGGACTCAGCATGTACATGGCTTAGACTTTCTGTAAAAAAAACCATCCTGGGACATCATTTTCTATGTCAGAATGCTCACCTGGATGCACACAGCTCTGGTTTATAAGTTTTAACTGCTGTGTTCTACACCTGTTTCAGTATTTTTCCTCATTGTATCCCCTTTCTGAGGGTCATTTAAGTTCTTCCCAGTCTACGCTGTCACACAGTGGACATTTTTGTGTCTCCTCGCTCCCAGTGTGAGTTTTTCTGGGGTGATGACTGAGTGGAATTACCTTTCCTGAGTGCTGCCCACCGCTTCCAGAGCGGCTAGCCCAGGGGTGGGCAAACTTTGTGACTCGAGGGCCACAATGGGTTCTTAAACTGGACTGGAGGGCCGGAACAAAAGCATGGATGGAGTGTGTGTGTGAACTAATATAAATTCAAAGTAAACATCATTACATAAAAGGGTACGGTCTTTTTTTTTTTTTAGTTTTATTCATTTCAAACGGGCCGGATCCGGCCCGCGGGCCATAGTTTGCCCACGGCTGGGCTAGACGCAGTGCTGGGGGTCTGGCCACAAATCACTGCTGACTCGCAGCTCCCTGGCTACCGGAAGATGCCCACCTTTTCATCTGCTTGTTGGCCCTTTAGTTTTCTGAGAATTGCCAGGTATTATTCATCTTTGCCTATTTCTCCCCGATTGTATTTTTTTGAAACTGATTGGTAGAAGTATTTTACATTTGGATAATGATCCTTATTAATTCTATTGTTGCATATATCTTTTCCTATTTGTGGCTTGGCTTCTGATGACGGTTTCTTTTGATATATGTTTTTCCTTTTAATGTAGTCAATTTAATCAATACTTTGAGTTGTGCATTTTGTTTCTTATTTTAAGAAATCCCAAGTCAAATTTTTTTTCCATCTATTCTTCTGAAGATTGGAAAGCACTGCTTTTCACATGTAAGCCTTTACACTGGCTGCTGTGCTTGGTGTGCGCCGAGGTGCATAGATGTTATGGGACCTGGGGCTAAGGTAAGCTTGAGGGCCCTCTTTATGAAAACCAAAATGACTGCATTTTTTTCTACATGGAACCAATTTCCCCAGAACCACTTACTGAATAATCATTTTTAATGTGGATCTGAAATACCTGTCAGTTCCCTGTCTGCGGGGGTCGGTTTGGGGGCTGTAGCGTCAGTCCTAATGCTGACCAGGCAAGGACCCTGGCCGAGCTCTTCCACGTTTATCCTCTTTAATGTAACCCGTCTGGGTTTTCCCTGGGACGACACCGTTACTGAGAGGCTTCCTTTCTAAGAACATGGTAAAAACTGAAGCTTTAACGCCACTCAAAATGTCTGTGATCCTCTCCAGAGAGGCCTCAGAAGGCTTCTTGTTGGATGTATTCCTAGTTACCTTAGAATTTTATGGATGTTGATCTTGTGGTCTCTTGAATGTCCTATGCAGAAACATGGCAGGTAAACAGCCTTATTTACTTTTTAGGGAAGAGGGTCAATTGTCTAATACAGTGTTGACTAGAAGTGATGATTAAGGGATTAAATCAATCTATTATCAGTAAATAGTTCACTTAAGAATTAAAGAATTAAAAAGTATTGACAACAAACCACGTTTGTCGGAGGAATGTAAGAATGGCCCATGTCAAGGACGTGTTTCTCAGTGACACCGATTTTAATGATTTACAACAAAGAACTCAGCCAACTAGGAATGGAAGGAAATGTAACCTAATGCAGGGACCTCCTCAGACCTACAGCAGCATTTTACTCAGGTCAGACCCACAGTTAGGGTTTTGGTGCTGAGGCCCCACTGGCCACACGAGGAGCTGTCTGCTCTCCCTCTTCGTGTTCTGTGCTCTGAACAATTTACATACAAAAGACTCTGTGCCTTGAAGATTTCATAAATCATTTCTACGAAACCATCTAATCCTGGTGTTTTGTCAAAGTGGGAAAGTTGCTGTTAAAAAACTTACCTTAATACCAATAATATCTCCATCTTTCAAGTAATAAGGTGCACCCTGCAAATTATCTTGCTTTTTCTTCTTTTTCCTCTTGGTAATTTGCTGGTTCTATAGAAAAATCAAGCATCTTGAATAAAGAAACAACCTCGCATTCTTACTAAATTCCCTCTGTGAAAACTTGCAGGGAAGGTGTTATGCAGGAATCCCCACACTTTACCCAGCTGGACACTGGAAGCCACTCAAACTTGTCAGGAAAGTATTTGGCAATTTCAATCTTCTCTACAGGAAGGGAATAGAAGTCAGCCACTCGCTGCCGCAGGGAGCTGGCAGTGCCCCGGGCAGCGTCCCACACCATGTCCATGGGCAGGGCATATGCCCGTTCGCCAGGGAGGCGCATCTGTGTCCTCAGCAACATGTCCTGAGGGCTGCACCAGAAAACAGTAAAACATCAGCTTTGAAGTAAAATGAGGAACACACGATAGATACGAGGGGGGTGATGTGTGAAGCTTCCCCTCCAGCTCTTCTCATTTTTTAAGAGGTTGCCACTAAACCCTCATTTCCTTTCATCCCGACCCAGGATGGAGTGAAGCTCCTCCCAGATGAGAGGTTCCCAGCCACAGTGGCTGCCTGGGCGGCACTAAACATCTGACTGCTGTGGGGTAGCCAGGGAGGAGGGAAAGAACAGTCAGAAAGATGGGAGTAAAAGATCTATGGAAGCTGTTATGTACATGAAGTAAATAAAAACTGCAGGTAAGCCGAACCGGTTTGGCTCAGTGGATAGAGCGTCGGCCTGCGGACTGAAGGGTCCCGGGTTCGATTCCAGTCAAGGGCATGTACCTGGGTTGCAGGCACATCCCCAGTGGGAGATGTGCAGGAGGCAGCTGATCGATGTTTCTAACTCTCTATCTCTCTCCCTTCCTCTCTGTAAAAAATCAATAAAATATATTTAAAACAAAACAAAACAAAAAAAACTGCAGGCAAGACTGGAAGCTGGAGGGGAGAAATGAAAACTACTCTTTCACTTGTTTTTAGGATGGTGTGACAATGAGTGATTTTAAAGATTACTTCTGTTATATTGGTGATTTCACCAAAGGAAAGAGTGATGCAATGGGAGAAAAGGAGTAATTGGAGGAGACCGAACCTTCTCCATGAGGGAGTGGAGGGTCAGCATAGATGCTGGGGTGAAGAGGACGATGAGGAACCAGAAGCTGGTTGGGGGTCTAAGTAAGTGGAGAGCACAGGCTTCAAAGGGATACTGCTTATTGAAAACAAAAGATCCTGCTTAAAACAGACATGCAGAAAGAGCTCACACACGTTAGACCCCATTAGAACAGGCAAAATGTATGAAAGAATTCACAAACTACAAATGGCTCACAAGCCTTTGAAAAAAATGCCCAATCTTAGTAGCAATCAAAGCAATGAAGCAAACCTTTAAACAATGACAATATTCAATGTTGATTTGAGGATGAGGTGAAGTAAATACTCAGAAACACTGTGTGAACATAAATTGATATCACTTATCTGGAAAGGAATAATTTATTTTAAAAGGTTTAAAATGTCCATATCATGTGATCCAGAAATCCCCCCGAGAAGCTACTGGTAACACAATTTGTATTAAGACAGTCACATCACATGAAGGTCAGTGTGGCTGAAAGAGTGCGATCAAAGTTACTGGATGTCAGGTGAAGGAATCTTAACACTCGGTGATGCTAACAAAGACGGCTTATTCAGTTAACTGCCACGCGTCCAAAATGGAAACCATCCCCACACGCCATGACATTTTGAATTTAATTTAAAAAATCAATTTGCAATGAATATTATAAATATATTACAATTCACGTGTTCTTGAATATTCTCAGCTGAAAATTCTCATGAAAAATGATTTTAAAGTTGGTCAGGGCTGCCACTTAGGGAAGACATTTTTTTTTAACAGACACATGTGGGGAAGGTCTGCCACTTGCGTCTACATGCACTTATGGCGTACAATATAAAAGATTCTTCTAGCCCTACCCAGTTTGGCTCAGCGGATGGAGCGTCGGCCTGCGGACTGAAGAGTCCCAGGTTCGATTCCGGTCAAGGGCATGTACCTTGGTTGCAGGCACATCCCCAGTAGAGGGTGTGCAGGAGGCAGCTGATCGATGTTTCCCTCTCATTGATGTTTCTAACTCTCTATCTCTCTCCCTTCCTCTCTGTAAAAAATCAGTAAAATATTAAAAAAATAAAAATTAAAAGATTCTTCTATAGTGAAAAAATAATAGAAAGAAACTTTGGGGTGCTTCTTTATTCAAAAAATACTTTGACGCCGAAACCGGTTTGGCTCGGTGGATGGAGCGTCGGCCTGTGGACTGAAAGATCCCAGGTTCGATTCCGGTCAAGGGCATGTGCCTGGGTTGCGGGCACATCCCCAGTAGGAGATGTGCAGGAGGCGGCTGATCGATGTTTCTCTCTCATCGATGTTTCTAACTCTATCTCTCTCCCTTCCTCTCTGTAAAAAATCAATAAAATATAAAATAAATAAATAAATAAATAAATACTTTGACTATGACAAAGACACTGTTCTAGATATTGGGGATACAGCCATGACCAAAAAACAAAGTACTTGCTCTCGCAAAGATTACATCCTAGTAGTGGGAGACATAATATGTCAGGTTTGATATTAGGATGAAAAAAGTAGAATGAAGGGCCAGAGTGAGAGGTGCTATAAGGCAGTTTGACTTCAGACTCTCCACCTGCATCAACAGAGCGGAACACAGCATCCTGCTTGTCTTTCAAGACTGAGTGGCCTTAGTGTGCACTTGGACTTACTGAACAAGTCTAATTTCTATGGAAAATGGGTTCCATGTTACACAGAACAAAATCTGTTTTAATCTGCCATACTACTGAGAAGCCACCCACTGTGATAAGACATGGAATTCTTACCCTAAGTGTTCTTCTTTCTGAAGGGGTTCTAAGCAGATCTCAGTTCTCCTCCCCAACTTATATTCCCTGATAATAAAATAATAGTGACATTTAATTTTTTAAAACATTCTTTTGTCAATTTTAAGCTGTCTTAATAAGCAAAGTATTATACATTTAAGACGACTATGGCCCTAGCTGGTTTGGCTCAGTGGATAGTGTCGGTGTGTGGACTGAAGGGTTCTGGGTTCGATTCTGGCCAAGGGCACATGCCCAGGTTGCAGGCTCAATCCCAAGTAGGGGGCGTGCAAGAGGCAGACGATCAATGATTCTCTCTCATCATTGATTTTTCTATCTCTCCCTCTCCCTTCCTCTCTGAAATCAATAATATATATATATATATATATATATATATATATATATATACATACATACATATATATATATGTATATATATATATATAACTTTAATACTACTATGAACAATTATACTCCAACAAAATGGAAAACTTAGGAGAAATGGGTAAATTCCTAGGAACATGTAACCTACAAGGATGAATCATGAAGAAATAGAAAATACAAATTATTACTAAGGAAATTGAATAAAAAATCACAAATCTCCCAACCAAGAAAAGTCTAGGACCAGATGGTTTTCACTGATGAAGTCTACCAGATGTTTAAAAAAGAATAGTAATCCTTCTCAAACTCTTTCAAACTTATTTTATGAGGGCAGCACTACACTGATATCAAAGCCAGACAAGGACACTTTAAGAAAAGAAAATTACAGGCTAATATCCCTGAGGAGCATAGATACAAAAATCCTCAAATTAGCAAACTGAATTCAATAATACATTACAAGGATCATATACCATGATCAAATGGGAGTTATGCTAGAGATGGCTAGGTTGTGTCAAATATCTGCAAATCAACTAGTGTGACATACCACATTAACAGAATGAAGGATAAAATCTGATCACCTCAATAGATGCAGGAAAATACATTTGACTAAATTCAACATCTTTTCATGTTAAAAACTCAACAAACTGGATATAGAGGAAATTACATGAGAAAGATCATATATGACAAGCCCACAGTTAACATACTCAGTGGTGAAAAGCTGAAAGATTTTCTCCTATGATCAAGATGCTTGCTCTTGCCACTGTTATTCTGTAGTACTGGAAGTTCTAGTCAGAGCAATTATGTAAGAGGAAGAAGTTAAACTTTCTATTTGCAGATGACATGGTTATATTTAGAAAACCTTAAACCCTATACCAAAAAAACCTATTAAAACTAATAAATAAACTTGCAGGATACAAAATCAACATACAAAAGTCAGCTAGCTACATTTCATACACTCTCAGCTATCAGAAAGAGAAGGTTCCATTTTACAACAGCATCCAAAAGAATAAAATGCTTAGGAATACATTTAACCAAGGAGGTGAAAGGCCTGTCGACTGAAAACTGTAAGACATCGATGAAGGAAATTGATCAAAACACAAATGGAAAGATATCCCGTATTCATGCACTAGAAGAATACTGATAAAATGTTCATACTACCCAAAGAGTTCCACAAGTAAAATACAAACCCTATTAAAATGTCAATGGCATTTTTCACAGAAATAGAAAAATCAATCCTAAAATTTGTATGGAATTTGTATGAAATTATATTATGAAGCTATAATAATCAAAACATTATGGTACTGGCATAAAAACAGACACATAGATCTATTATGGAATACAATAGAGACCCCAGAAATAAATCCACATATATGCTTAATTAACTTACAACAAAGGCACCAAGAAAATACAATGGGGAAAGAATACTCTCTTCTATAAATGGTGCTGGGAAAAGTGGACCACTATCTTACTACACCATACACAAAATCTACTCAAAATAGATTAAAAACTTGAACCTAAGACTGGAAACTATAAAACTCCTAGAAAAATAACAGAGCTCCTAAGTTCCTTGACATTGGTCTTGGCAATGATTCTTTGGATTTCACTAAGAGCAAAGGCAACAAAAGTGAAAATAAACAAGTGGGACTATATTAAACTAAAAAGCTTCTGCACAGCAAAGGAAACCAACAAAATAAAAAGGCAACCTATGAACTGGGAGAAAGTATTTGCAAATCATATACCTGATAAGGGGTTAATACCCAAAATATATAAAAAATCCATACAACTCAATAGCAAAACCCCCAATTTGATTAAAAAAAATAGAGGAAATGAATAGACATTTTTCTAAAGAATATAAACTAACAGCCAATAGGTACATGAAAAGGCGCTCAACATCCTACACTAGTCATCAGGAAAATGCAAATCAAAACCACTAGTTTTCACCTCACACCTATTAGAATGGTTATTATCCTATATAATAAAAGCCTAGGTGGCATCATGCCCTCACGCGATGTCACCACAAGATGGCCAGCAGGGGAGGGCAGCTGGGGGCGATCGCCGGCAGGGGAGCGGTTAGGGGCAATGAGGCAGGCAGGCAGGTGAACAGTTAGGAGCCAGCAGTGCCAGATTGTGAGAGGGATGTCCCAGATTGGAGAGGATGCAGATTGGGCTGAGGGACACCCTTCCCACTACCTCCCCCCGCCTCCCCCCACCCCGACCCCATGCACGAATTTCATGCACTGGGCCTCTAGTAAACAAATAATAAAAAAAACCCAAGAGATAAGTACTGGTGAGGATGTGGAAGACAGGGAACCTTTGTGTACTATTGGTGGGAATGTAAACTGATACATCCATTGTGAAAAAACAGTATGAAGGTTCCTCAAAAAATTAAAAATAGAACTACCATACCAAATGATCCAGCAATCCTACTTTTTCAGGATATCAATGAGAAAGGAAATGAAAACAGGCTATCAAAGAAATACCTGCACTCCCATGTTCATTGCAGCATTATTCACAACAGCTAAGATATGGAAGCAACCTAAATGTCCACCAACAAACAAACGAATGGATAAAGATGAAGTGTGTACACACAAACACACACAGCTATTTTCAGCCACAAGAAAGAAAGACATGCTGTTGTTTGTGACAACATGGATGGACCCTCAGGGCACTATAATAAGATTAAGTCAGACAGAGAAAGACAAATACTGTATAATATTTATTTATTGTAGAATCTGAAAAAGCCAAACCCATAGCAATAGGCACCAGAACGGTAGTTACCAGGGGCTGAGAGAATAGATATTAAATGTTCTCACCATGAAAAAGAAATTATGTGATGTGATACAGGTGTCAGCTAATGCTATGGTGGTGCTAGTTTTACAATGTATGTGTATCAAATCAACACACTGTATGCCTTAACTTACACAATGTTATATCAGTTACAGCTTAATAAAGCTAGAAAAAAAACACTCAGAATTCTGTTCACAGTCTCTGGAACATAGTAAACTTACATGAAGCTACATTTTGTACTTAATATGGAAACTGAAGCTGTTCCAGAGTTTGATTTATGGTAAGAAGCGTCACCCAGTTGACATGTGGAATTGCCAGGGTCGGGCTTTGTTACTGAATTCAACAAGGAACCCACCTGAGCTGCTGCTGGTTTTTTCGTAAAAGCCTCCCAGGGCGCTTACTGTCCACTGTCCAGGCTCTGAGGAAGGCAGGGGACGGGATGAAAAACTCCGACAAGGAGGGCAAGGTCATAGCCTAGAAAAGAAACAGGCATTTGTAGAAATTTGCCTGAGGGTTTGGAAAGGCACTCTTAAAAAGATACTGCTTTAGGAAGAAATGAAGCACTATACAAGAACATCTGAGGGAAAGAGTATCTTGAGTAATGGTACTATCTACTGAAACATTCCCAGAACTAACTCAAACTAATCAGCTGAGAGAGAAGTGAGTTTTCGATTTCTAAATCTGAGCCCAAAACTCTTTTTTGATCAGAATGTTTTAGAAAATGAAACTTTAAAATTAATTTTTAGATGAGTCTAACTCACAAGAGAAGAGGTCACTGTAGAGGAAGCAAGGGCCTCGTCTACATCCATCCTGTGATTCTCCAGCAGGGTCTGCATGGCCCAAGAAGTATCTTTTGATTCTGAAATATTTCAGTATCTTTGGATCCTACTGCTAGCCCCAAACTGATGCACTAATTCTAGAGGAGTAGGCAATTATTTATATTATTTAGGTTGCAGTATATAAAATGGCCAATATTCATCCATTTTAACCTAAAAACAGCAACTTTGTATCTTTCAATCCAGTATGAGGAAAACAGGTCTCTTCCTACTTGGTCTCATGATAATTAAACCATCTGCTTTTTTTTGAGGACACAGGTCAAACGTTAGTGACTGATACTCTTATTGTCTGCCCCCACATTTTTCCCAGAGGAAGAAGGGATGCTCACTTCAGTCCAACAGTAGTAAGATGCTTCTGAAACATTTAGTGTTGTATTCAATTTAGTCTTTCCATTTGGACAAAACACTCTTTCTCTATGAATATTAACACACAAGAAGACACTATAATCTGACATAAAGCTGATATTCTGACCTGGGAAATGGATACTGTCTCTTTAACAACATATAACACATGGATCACAATGATACAAAAACAATGTAAAGGTTAAACTGAATGTTTTACAAATGTTTCAATAAATCATGTTTACCTAAAAGGTAAAAATAAACATAAGCCGCAAGTCACTGAGGGTATATTTGAATGAAAGCACAGCATGCCTGTCAGAGGAGGAGGAATGAGAGCCGCAAGGGCAGCTGGTGGAAAAGAAGACCAGGGAGCTGAGCCGTGTGCGTGTCGCCTGCTGGCTACTTACCACTAAACATGGCATGTAACACATGCCATATCAGAACAGACTGTAAGTGAGGGAAGAGGAGATAGAAGAATAGATTAATATCTCACTGGAAGCAGCCAGACCCCCACTCAGGTACGCTGCAGGAAGAAGTCTGACCTGAGCCTTCAGCTCCCCTAGGGTGGCATCTTCTGAGATTTTGACGTCTCCCAGGTAGCGGAGGGGAACATCCGCATGCACATCACCAGCAGCACCTGCAGAGGACAGAGCCAGATGTTAGAAAGGAGCTTAAATGCATTTATTTCATATTTTTAAAATATATGCCATGTTTTGATGTTGTAAATACTTTTAATACAATTCCATTCATGTAACTCAGAATCGGTTCCTCCAATTCAGGCCTCCTGCCTTTGGAGGGGAGGAAGCTATTGGCACAGGACCATGGCTTTCTCACTGGTGGGGGTTTGAGGAATTTCACACATGTGTCTACTAGAACGTTCTTTTTGATACTCCTTCCGCAAAGAGTACTTTGCCCTTATTCTTTGTATCACCATCCTGTTTCTTTCTCATATCACACCTATCCCACCTGTTTCTCTGTCTGTTTTCTTGCGCGTGTATAAAGACTACGACAGTCAGGGGAGGGCAGACCTGCATGCTCATTGTCTGTCAAGTATGTGGCAGGGTGGGTGTCATGTGGTTGATGTTTACTGACAGAGTCCTTGAGAGTAAGAAGGCCTTCTACATTTGTTATAAAAAGGGGGAAATAAAACGCTATCTCATCTAAAATCCTGGGTATAAAAGTTTGGCAACTAAATTTAAAATTCAGAATAATTTAACTCATTTTGCTTTAATTAAATCTCTTAGTTTATTGTTGGGCACACTGCTAATATACAACAAAATTAGATTGTAAATAAGTTAAAACAAAAAGCTTCATGAATGGTTTTTCTTGTATCTCAAGGACACCAAATGCTAACAGATACTTTTTGGAAACTCCGGATTTAAAAATGTTTCTCATGTATTGTTATATAAAGAAGGACTATCAAACAATGATCCTGTTTCTTCACTTTCATGGAAAAACTCACTAATTAAACACACTTTTTATGTTTGTAGCCAACTCTATATGTAACTATTATTCTATTACCATAGCATTTTTAGAATTAGTTAACACATCTAATATGACCCAACCAAAAAATAACTTAATGCTAATTTCATAGCTAATTCAACATGAAATTATTTTATTGGTCTAAACATGTATTCTTAACTTCAAAGAGTAAGGAGAGAAGAACTTGATTGATTCATTTTTAGTAGTTTCAATACTGAGGTTTAAGGATAAAAAAGAAATATAAGTATATAATACTTTACCCCCCCCCCAAAACAAAGCTAAATAACTAAATAAAGCATGATTAACAATATATAAAGAGTTGATCCTAATAATATATCTACAGTTACAAAGGAGACTGATTGGTGTTTTCTTTATAACGAAATGGAAACCCACTGTTGACAATGGAAAATCAAACTCGCTGCCTGTGATTTCTTGCTCATCGTGACATGTGCTGAATTTTGTCTGTGGAGAAACCACTTACAAGTAAAGCAGAGCATATATACTGTTCAGAAGGCAGTGAGGGTGTGGAATGCCCTGCAGGCAGTTCAGGGGGGGGGGGGGCGGGGGTGGGGAGGGAGCGGTGAAGGGTGCAGGGTACAGGGTGCAGGGGACAGACTCCAGCCCTGCCTCTGTCCCAGCTGCCTCCATATCCTAGTCTACCAGGAGAACCCTGAGAGAGGGCATAAAAATTCCTTGAAAAAATATACTGACATAAAGACTTTAACAAATTGTACCTTATAGCGAATGGTTGGTTTTAAAGCACTGCATAAAAGGATGGTGTTACTGCTTTGGAGTGACTTGTGGAATAAATAGGTTGATTTTCAACCGTACATTTAAAAAAAGAAATAAATGTCATTTGCCCTCAGAGCAGAAGCAGTCGTTCTATTTTCTTTAGGACACGTAGGCCACTGCGATTCTGTTGGTCTCACCTGGGGTGGAAGTAGCTCTCCAGACCCCGCCTTGAGAAGGAGTACAGTTCGTCTGGTCCAGGTGTCTCTTCCCCTGACTCTTGGGCCCCGGAGGCTGGTACCACCAGATGGGCACGTTCAGGAGACCCTGGAGAAGGGAGCATTTCTCACTGCTGTGAGGTACACAGATTAAGTGAACTTCCATTGCTACTTCCATAAAGAGGAACATCTTGACAAAAAGTGTTCCCAAACTTATTGTTTTTCCTTTCAGATGTATAACTGCTATATATTACACTTTTGTTTTTACAATCAAAAAGTTTAAGTGATAAAAATAAGACTAAATGTTCATTGTTTAGAAGTAGCTCACTAGTTACAGACATGAACAGTATAAACAAAATAGAAAATGTTTGACAGAACCAACTATATAAATATATTCAGGCCCCGTGAGAGCAGCAAGGCCCCAGGTCCGGCTGTTTTCATTCATTCGAGTTCCCAGGGGAACTTGAGAGAATCAACAGCCTAATGGTCTAAGCTGGATTCCTGTACACACACTACAGGAAATAAGCACATTTCCTTAAACCTGTCTTGTAATTTTAGTTTTACTAATGTAACTGGTTCTTCACTAACCTTTTTTGTCTGTTAGTAAAGAACTTTAATAGTTTTATTAGGGATTAAAGATGTTACAGAAGATGAGAATGTGAAAAAACCATGTAAAATATTTTAAATATATATTTCAAGAAATGCATATTAAAATAACTTGTTTATTAAGTAGGTGAAGATTAATAAACACTCAACCTCCATTCAATGAAATAAGTAAGTATAAATCAGAAAAACAAAATTCTATTTTTTTACGTATCAGACTGTCAAAAACCAGAAAGTTTAATAATATTCTGTATGTTGTTGAAAATATGGGTAAATTGGTGGCAGAAGTATAAACTTGCAGCAGAGTTTTTGGAGAGTAATTTGAAATTGTCATAATTTAAATGCCACGCCCTAGACCTGCCATCCATGGTGAGAATTTGCCTTCTGATGGACGAGCCCTGAGACAAAGTCACAGGTTCAAAGACAGTCACTGCCAATTGTTGATGGCAGCAGAATAGAGTGGTAGGTCTAGGAATTCTGTAGATAAATGGACATTTATAATATTTTTTGCAGTGTCATTTATATTAACAAAAGACTGTAAGCAACCGAAATCTTCTTTGAAAGAGATTGGTTAAATTATAGTACCTCCATACAATGGGAGATATAGATACCACCTATAGAATGAGATGAGTTGATGTGTATTGCTACACATCAAGGTGGGTGGGCAAAGGTGGGTTTACAGTTGCAATGCAAACAATAAATTAGTAAATAATAATACAAGAATAATTTTGTATTTCATGTACTCATAATTGTAAACCTTTTATCCACTCCTATATATGGATAACAAATATGTATATATGCGCTATGTACACACACAGACTTACTTGTGTGTTGACACAGAGGCATCTGGCTACCTCTGGAGGGACACACTGAGTGGCTGGGGGGCAGGGAGGATAGTTATTTTTCCTGGCTCAGCTTTTTATACACTTTGAATTTTGTATAATGAGTATTACCAATTCAAATATTAACTTTAAAGAACATGTATGTAAAATACCACAGAATTTCATGAAGTCATGGAAAAGAATAAGGTAGGTCTGTATGTGCTGAAAAAACCAACAGATATAAAACACTGTATGGAATATGATCCCCTGTATGGAAACTTTAAATATATATGCATATATTTACACTCAGCATACAAACAGGTATCACTTTTCTTCTTGAAAGGACAAGTAAGTTAATTGTGGCTCTTTCTGGGGAGAAAGACATAGAAGAAACTTTTGTTTTTCATTTTATATAGCCTTCTAGGCTGTGTGAATCTTCTAATCATAAGCTAATGGATATCAGAGTACTGGAGTTTGGGGTCAACTTTTAAAAAAAAAATCTTTACATGTGTACACATTAAAAATACAAATAAGTAATTAATGGGTTTAGAAAATGGGAACATGCAGTGTTTATGAAAGAGGAGGGAAAAGAGCCCTCATATCTGCTGGTAGGACTGTAAATCTAGTACAACTCTCTGGGAAAACAATTTGGCAACATACATTCTCAAGTCTTTAAAAAGTTCATGCCCTTTGACTTGTTAATTCCATCTTTAGAACTATCTGAAGACGATTTCGTTTTTAAGTACTATTATAAGAAAAAATTTAAAATAAGATAAATTTCCAACAATGAAGATAAAAAGTGAATTAAACTGTGATAAGTCATACATTATAACTGTTTCAGGTTCACAAATTAAATAGAAAAGGTAGAAAATAAAACTGTATATACAACTGATTTTATAGGAAGGAAATACCTAACATGTAAAATATGATGGCTGTGTCTGGTAGACTTTGGGGTAAGTTCTTTGTTCTCTTTCTGACTGTTGACAGAGACAACAATAACCATTATTCACAGTGTCTATTGGAAGCAAAGTCTTACCGGAGAAGGAAGTTTTCCTTCCGTTAAAAGCAGAGTGTCTCCAGAACATAGCATAAGCTCTTTCAGTGTTGCATCCTGGGAATATGGAAATTCTTTTTTGTTACTTGTGACTTCTGCAAGGAACAAACAGACCACTGGACTTTTGTTTGTGAACCCTATGCCTCTATTACCCTTGAAATAAATAAATGAATAAATGATAAAGCAGATGTTGAATAGAAAATAGGCTTATAAAACAGTCTATTATTATATATCAAATTATGAGTAGGAACTGTAAGTATCATAGAAGATTAGAGGAAAGGGAGAGGTGAGAAATAATGAGACTGATTTACAGAAGATGACATTTTAGTTAAATAATGAGACTGATTTACAGAAAATGACGGTTTAGTCCAACCTAAAAAGATTCGTTGGATTTAGAAAGGTGAATGAAACAAGAGAAGGAATTTCTCATGAAAAAGCGAACAAAGTCAAGGTCATGTCAAGAATAAGTATGGGCCTTAGCCGGCTTGGCTCAGTGGATAGACTGTCAGCCTGCGGACTGAAAGGTCCCAGGTTCGATTCCGGCCAAGGGCACAAGCTTGGGTTGCGGGCTCAATCCCCAGTGCGGGGCATGCAGGAAGCAGCCGATCAATGATTCTCTCTCATCATTGACGTTTCTATCTCTCTCATTCTCCCTTCCTCTCTGAAATCAATCAATAAATATATTTTTTTTAAAAAAGAATAAGTATGGCTTGGTTAGGGAAGAGCTTAGACTAGACTGATTAGAGTGGACAGTATCAGAGTAACGGGGGGGGGGGGCGGGGCGGGGAAGGATGGGTAGGGTGGTCACAGATCAAAGGGATGTGGAATAGAAAAAAGGGAGCTTTTAGTTCCTTTGTAAACAGCCACTCAAGACTTCTGAGGAGGAGTTTTTGAAAATCAATCTGGCTGCTACATGCATAACACACTGAAGTGGGAAACACCTGGGCTCAGGGAGGCCAGTTGCAATAATTTAGGTAAAAGGAAAAATAAATGGCTTGAACCAGGAGGCCAGCAGTGGACTCAGGAAGGAGTGGAAAAACTGACAGGCCTTTGAAGGCCGAGCCCAAACAAGAAGGCGGCAGGTAAGTTGGATTGGCCACATTTCAGGCTGAAAAAGATCAGGATGGGAAAGACAGGCAGCACATCGGGAAGAGAAAGCAATTTTGAGGGTAATGAGTTTGCTCTAGACAGTTTTAGAACTGTTTGATACCAATTTGGGACTTAATAGAGAAGAAAATCTGGAAACTATGTGACTACATATTACTCTCGACATCCAAACTATACTAGTATGTCCTGAAGATTCTTTTTTTTTTTTTATAATATATTTTTATTGATCTCAGAGAAGAAGGGAGAGGAAGAGAGAGATAGAAACATCAACGATGAGACAGACTCATTGATCGACTGCCTCCTGCACGTCCCCTACTGGGGATTGAGCCTGCAACCAGGCATGTGCCTTTGACCGGAATAGAACTCAGGACCTTTTAGTCCACAGGCTGACACTCTATCCACTGAGCCACATCGGGTAGGGCCTAAAGATTCTTTAGGTCCACTTCTTACTCTGGGCAGTCAAATTCCTGTCCAAGATTCAAGAGGGTCCTCTCTCCATACTGTTATTGACCACGACACAGCACAGAGTGTTTGAGGGATGACCCCAGTACACCTGCTTCAATCAACCTCTGTTGATGTTCACTGCCACTGTATATTACTGAACAGAAGCAGGCAGATAGGGGAGGGGTAGCTGACCACGTTTCACTGTCTAAACGTTCTCACAAAGCTTCATTTTGGGTCTACTTCTAATGCTGTGAGGTTGGATGCTATTTGGGTAAGATTAACCAGACCCCACCTATCCTGTGATACAACCGTTCCTAAGGCTACCCTAAGAGTTTGGCTGGATCTAGAGATGTAGTTAAGAACAGAGCCTAAGTGATTGGTTGGTAAGATGAATTCTGCCATCAACTCAGAGATTAAAATATTCAGGTTTCAAAATTCAGAGTGTATCTCCAAATTCTTTCATTAGTTCAAATGTCTTCTGTTCGCTAAAGTTCTCTGCTTTCTAATGAAGAACCACCATTCCCAGGAACACACTCTCTTACCAAAAGAGGACTTAACACAGATGTCAGAAATAGTCCCACTTGGCTGAGACCTTCTCTCTGAATGCTCTCAAATAACTACAGGGAGGGAAGAGTAAAGGTAGATGCATGTATACATTTTTGAATCCTAAACAAATTAAATCTTTCTCTAGAATTTATTCATGAGTTAGGATGAGTATCCTGAATGAAAATACCATATAAACACAATCATTTTAAAGAGTGAAATATATAAAAATAACCTTACTTCTTCACACAAAGGCTCCCCAGCTTCATAGCACCAATCCATTTTCCTTAAGTGCCACGTATCACCTGTGAAAGAAGCAGAATCAGAATGAAAAAAAATTCACAAGAATGTGTTTTAAGAGTTTGTCAGGAATGACCCTTCTGGGTAAATGAAAATTGAATGGGATTTGATCTAATAATTAACTAATTTTTTTTAAAAAATTCCCTCGTCTGGCTGGTGTGCCTCAGTGGTTGAATGTCAACCTATGAACCAGGAGGTCACAGTTTGATTCCCAGTCAGGGCACATGCCTGGGTTGTGGGCTTGATCCCAGTGTAGGACAGGAAGCAGCTGATCAATGATTCTCTCTCATCATGATGTTTCTATCTCTCCCTCTCCTTTCCTCTCTGAAATCAATAAAAATATATTTTAAAAAATGAAATCAATAAAAATATATATTTAAAATAACATTCTCTCTTCCAGAGCATGAAAAATAAGTTGTTTCCCCAATTTGGTTAATCTCCTATTCCACCAAGAATAGATGTATAACTGTGTATCCTATATAATAAGGAGGTAATATGCAAATTGACTATCACACCCTTGCACACAAGATGGCCGCCCCTATGTGGTCACAAGATGGCCATGCCCATGTCATCACAAGATGGCCGGCAGGGGAGGGCAGTTGGGGGCAATTGGGCTGGCAGGGGAGCAGTTAGGCGTCGATCAGGCTGGCAGAGTGGTTAGGGGGTGATCAGGCTGGTAGGCAGAAGTGGTTAGGGATTATCAGGCAGGCAGGCAGGTGAACGGTTAAGAGCCAGCAGTCCCGGATTGTGATCGGGCCTAAACTGGCAGTCGGACATCCCCTCCAGTGCACAAATTTCACACCGGGCCTCTAGTAATTATATATTTGCAAATGAAAACACTTGCTACTATTACATGATAGCTATGTTATGCCTTTGTTTACATGTATACACATATCACACATGAGTATAAATATATGTACATATACATATAAGTACAGAAGTTAAGTTTCATTTCACTGTCTTGGCTGAAAGTATATGCTAACATTGCTCAGCAACTGATAATGTGTTCAGCAAAACTGGTGCTATCCAATTAGCGGTTAATCTAACGAAAAATAGTACTTTTGGAATACATTTAATAAAGTTGGTATAACAACACTTATAAATGTAAACAGTCTAATTAAATTTCTGTTTTTCACATGCTTGCTGCACTGAGGAAATGGGAAGAAAATTTTTTGAAGGGAGCCGAGTCGAGTGGAAATTGAAAATCCTGGTTATTAAGTTAAACAGCAACATCTTAAAAATAGTCAATTCCCCCACCCACTGAAAGAAACTACAGCCAGAGGAATAAACCTATATCTCATATTCATCCTGCATAGGCCATAGGTTTTGAATCCCAATACTCTTCTTTGCAGACCCTTTTTGTCATTAATTCTAGTTTTAAATACAGTTAAGGCCGAAACCAGTTTGGCTCAGTAGATAGAGCATCAGCCTGCGGACTGAAGGGTACCAGGTTCGATTCCAGTCAAGGGCATGTACCTTGGTTGCGGGCACATCCCCAGTAGGAGATGTGCAGGAGGCAGCTGATTGATGTTTCTCTCTCTCATCGATGTTTCTAACTCTCTATCTCTCTCCCTTCCTCTCTGTAAAAAATCAATAAAATATATTTAAAAAAAAATACAGTTAAGATTTACAAGAATATTTAACTTAATCTAAGTATGTATATTTTTTGCAAACACACCAGTAAGTTAAAAGTGAACACCATTACTTCATAGCACAGCAAGATGGAAAGAACTCGGGTTCTGAAATCAGAGAGGCTGTGTAAATTACACTTGCTGTGTGACTCTGGGCAAGCCATTTAACCATTCTCAGCCTCTGTCCCGTCCTCTGTAAAATGGGAACGAGGATGATCCCTGCTGGGAACACTGTTGTCAAGATGAAATGGGACAATGCATAGAAGCTCCAGAGCACATTACCTTCCCTTCCAGACAACGAATGCAGTCAGAGAGTGGCAAAGCACTCCAATGAAAGTAGTGTGATGCTCGCTGGCTGGGTTCCCCTGGTAGCTACTTCAGACATCCTGCATTTGTGTGTTCATTCATATGACATTCCCTAATCTATACTAAAACACACAGGTATGAAGCACAATCACCAACATTCTGAATCAATGAGGTTTAAACAAAACCAGCGAAAGATTGGAGTGATTCCACAAGGTAATCTTAACTTCATCTCTTTTATGTTTTTGTTGGATCCTCAGTGGTCAGCTAATTTACAACTAGTGTTCTTCCAGCTTGCAAACAGAATCAGGAGAACTTATTATGTACACACAGATATAAAGTGTAACAGATAACCCTGAGAAAAAAAGGGCTGAAACATTTTCATTAGGCTTGTAAGTACTTTCTTATAAGTCAAGGATGTGGATAAGATTCTAGATCATCATGGCCTGTAACTTACCTGGTAGGCCAAATTTCTCCAGCATTATCTTCAAACACTGTAAAAAAAAAAAAAAAAAGTATGTTCATTAGTTTCCTGTTTCAGAGTTACAGTATTGAAAGAAACAACCTCTTTGGATCCTGGGGCCTATTTAAGTCTGATCAAATAGATAATACACATAGTTAAGAAGATGACCGAATAAGCTCTCCTTCCTAAGAGCTGGAGGGAAAAACCCCAGTTATGCTTTGAGAGAAGAACAGGAATGCTGTTGTGGGTGTGTTGTAATTTGGGATGACAATCAAACAACCATGTAGCAGCTGGTTATGTAAGCCTGGAATTTTGAGGTGAGATCCAGTCTAATTGAACCCTAAGGTGCTCATAGCTGGAGAGAAGAGGAAGTAGCAAACTGAGAAGGGGTAGGAAGGGAAATCTGAAGAGCTGCAAGGAACAGTCATCACGTATATACCATGCTGCCGAGAGAGAGGGAGAGAGATGAAGACTGAGAACTGCCCGCTGCACTTGGTAAGAGCTGTTTCGGTGGTGTGGTGGGAACAAGTTTGCCTGCGATGAGAACAGAAAGATACACACATCGCTCCTTTGTAAAGATTTGTGATTTTCTTTCTTTAAAATTAAAAACAAACACAACACTCAAATTCAAGAGAGAATCCACAAGTGAAAATGAAAAACTCAAAATGAAAAACTCCAAAAATATTTTCAGCATGTAACAAGAGTAAAGGAACTTACTAAAAAGGTGTTTTCTCATGGAACTCTTTAACCACATGCAGAGGATCGTAAAATGACCCTCAAGTCTCAATCACTCCTGCAGCCATTCGTGTTTGTCAGTACCCCAACCCACTTCTCGTCTTGTATCCCAGGTTCTTTTTTTTTTTTAATTAAATCTTTATTGTTCATATTATTACAGTTGTTCTTTCTTCCCCCCATAGCTCCCCTTCACCCGGATCCCACCCCCCCCCCCCCGTCTGCACTTACCCACCCCACCTGTCCTTACCCATTGGTGTACGATTTTTGTCCAGTCTCTTCCTGCACACCCCATACCCTTCCCCCCCCAAGAATAGTCAGTGCACTCCCTTTCTATGCCCCTGATTCTATTATAATCATCAATTTATTCAGTTCATCAGATTATTTATTTACTTGATTTTTAGATTCACTTGTTGATAGATGTGTATTTGTTGTTCATAATTTGTATCTTTACCTTTTCTTCTTCTTCCTCTTCTTTTTTTTTAAAAAAATATATTTTATTGATTTTTTACACAGAGGAAGGGAGAGAGATAGAGAGTTAGAAACATCGATGGGAGAGAAACATTGATCAGCCGCCTCCTGCACATCTCCTACTAGGGATGTGCCCGCAACCCAGGTACATGCCCTTGACTGGAATCGAACCTGGGGCCTTTCAGTCCGCACGCTGACGCTCTATCCACTGAGCCAAACCGGTTTCGGCCTTCTTCCTCTTCTTAAAGGATATCTTTCAGCATTTCATATAATACTGGTTTGGTGGTGATGAACTCCTTTAGCTTTTCCTTATCTGTGAAGCTCTTTATCTGACCTTCAATTCTGAATGAAAGCTTTGCTGGATAAAGTAATCTTGGTTGTAGATTCTTGGCATTCATGACTGAATATTTCTTGCCACTCCCTTCTGGCCTGCAGAGTTTCTGTTGAGAAATCAGCCGACAGTCGTATGGGTACTCCCTTGTAGGTAACTGCCTTTCTTTCTCTTGCTGCTTTTAAGATTCTCTCTTTGTCTTTTGCTCTTGGCATTTTAATTATGATGTGTCTTGGTGTGGTCCTCTTTGGATTCCTTTTGTTTGGGGTTCTCTGCGCTTCCTGGACTTGTAAGTCTATTTCTTTCACCAGGTAGGGGAAGTTTTCTGTCGTGATTTCTTCTAATAGGTTTTCAATATCTTGCTCTCTCTCTTCTTCTGGCACCCCCATAATTCGGATGTTGGTACGCTTGAAGCTGTCCCAGAGGCTCCTTACACTATCTTCATATTTTTGGATTCTTTTTTCTTTTTGTTTTTCCGGTTGGGTGTTTTTTGCTTCTTATTTCAAATCTTTGACTTGATTCTTGTGATCCTCTAGTCCAGGGGTGGGCAAATTTTTTGACTCGAGGGCCACAATGGGTTCTTAAACTGGACCGGAGGGCCGGAACAAAAACATGGATGGAGTGTGTGTGTGAACTAATATAAATTCAAAGTAAACATCATTACATAAAAGGGTACGGTCTTTTTTTTTTTTTTTTTAGTTTTATTCATTTCAAACGGGCCAGATCCGGCCCGCGGGCTGTAGTTTGCTCACGGCTGCTCTAGTCTGCTGTTGGAACTCTGTATAATGTTCTTTATTTCAGTCAGTGTATGCTTAATTTCTAGGTGATCATTTTTCATAACCTTGAGGGTCTCACTAGATTTATTAAAGGTCTTACTAAATCTATCAGTGGTTTCTAGAAAATTCTTGAAAAACCTTATAACCGTGGTTTTGAACTCTGTATCCAGTAGTTGGCTTTCCTCCATTTCTGTCATTTGTGACCTGTTTCTTTGTCTCCGCATTTTTTATGCTTCCCTGTGTTGATAGAGTGGCTTTCTGTGCTAGGTGTCCTATAGGGCCCAGTGGCTCAGCCACCTCATTACCTGAGGTGGACACTCTTGGTGCACCCCTTTGTGGGCTGTGTGCTCAGTCTTGTTGTAGTTAAGCCTTGATTGTAGTTGGTATCACTGGGAGGAACTGAACTCCAGGCCAATTGTCTGTGAGAATCAGCTGTGGTTATGGTGGGAGAACTTCTGTGCTGGAGACACCCTTCTGGGGCAAGACTTGCTTCAGTGGGGCTTTGGTGCTCACTGAGTCTGCCCCCTGAGTGTGTCCTTTATGGATCTGAGGAGTTGTAATCTGGATGGTCCCACTCTGACCACTGGGTATCCTGCTCTTGGATCTCTAAGGAGGTGCTAATTTAGCCTCTGCCTGAGGCTACCCAGCAGGAGCTACAGAGAGATCTGCAGATTCCTCTTCTTTGTTTGGGGTTTAGAGGTGCCCAGATGAGGCCCAGCTGTGAAGCAATGCAAGATGCTATGGGGCCTTGGGCCTTCTTTTGGATGTTCTGGGTCTCTCTGACCCAGCTGCAGTTTGTTAGGTAATTTCAGATTGCAAAGGGCCAGGCCATTCATATGCAAAAGCCTCTACGAACAGCTTGAGTGGGGCGGGGTCTCAGGGAATCAACAGGGTGGAGCAAACAGCTATAGCTGATCCTCAGCTCTGCCCTAAGAGGCCCCGGGTCTCAGTGTCCCGGTAATCGCTGCAAGCACCTCTGAGAGAAAGCCGCCTTCGAGTTCCTACCGATACCAGACAGTCCAGTTTCTCCCCATATGAGTCTGGGTCCCCAGAGACCTGCCCGGAACTGGCGTTCAGAGCAGTCGGGAGCTTGTGTCTCCCTCCCAATTGAAAAAAACAACCGCGTCCTCAGTTGCCAGCCCTTTCCACGTGCGCCTCCGTACCTGCACTTTACTTCCGCACCTCCTCTGAGTCTCGGTGTGCTTTTCTCTTTCCTTCTAGTTGTAGAATTTCCACTCAGCCAGCCTTCCTGTGGTTCTGGATGATGTCCGTTTTGTATTTTAGTTGTATTTTTGAAGTGGTTATGTGAGGCAGCAATTTCTGGTGTTTACCTATGCCGCCATCTTGGTTTCTCCTAACCCAGATTCTTTTGAAGCAAATGTCAGCTATCATATAACATCATTTATTAATATTTACATAAAGATAAACATCCTTTAAAAAATAACCCTAAAACAATGACATTTAAAAAAAAAAAGAATTCTTTAATAACAATTATCTAGTCAGTGTTCAAATTTCCCTACTTTCTTCCAAACTATTATTAGTTCTTCTGATTTGAATTAAGGGCCAAATGAAGTCCACACCCTGCCCTGCTTGCTGTTTCTCCTAAGACAAGATCTTTTAACCTACAGGCCCTCTCCCCTGTAGCCGATTTCTTGAAGAGTTTTCCACTTTTGGACTGTGCTGACTGTACTTCTAGGTTTGATCAGACTCAGGCTGTTCAGGGGTCTTGGGGGGCAAAAAAAGGATGGGTAGTGTTAAACTTCTATAATGCCTGAGTGTTGTCCTTTTTGGGTTGTGTGCAGGCTTTCAGGATCACTGCCTTCAGGCGTCATTCGGAGTTGAAAAACTGAGAGTTTAAAATTCTTTCTTTTTATTGGTTGGGATTGTTTATTTAAAAACCTGTTATCATTCTAGTTGCCCTGCAGTATAGTCTGTAAAACAAAAACAGGACAAATGCTCGATACTTTCCTTCATGGTTCCCAAGCATCCACTTGGTTACCCATCGGTATTAATGAAGATGGCATTTTTAGGGTCATATGAGCTCAGACTATATATACCAGTCAACTTTCATGACCATTCCCACTGAGGTCCAAGCTGTCTCATCTTTGACCAGAGGCAGCCTCTTCAAGTTGGCTTCTGTGTTTCTTTGCCGATGCCAGTCATCTTTGCTGGCTTCTCTGCTTTCTGTTCTGACAAGATGCGCTCTCTCTCTCTCTCTCTCTCTCTCTCTCTCTCTCTCTCTCTCTGCTTTCTGTTCTGACAAGATGCGCTCTCTCTCTCTCTCTCTCTCTCTCTCTCTCTCTCTCTCACACACACACACACACACACACACACACTCACATTTCTACCTCTGTGTATGTAACTGTGTGTGTATATAAAGTAAAAACAAAGGAAATATGCCACAATGTTCATATTATGGGATAAGATATGATGAGGGGTTTTAATGTTTTTTAAAAATCTATTTCTACATATCCCAAAGTTCTATGATCAACATTATTGATAATAATAAAAAATAATCTAATGTAAAATTCCAGTTTGCTCACCAATTTTCAAGCTCCCAAAACTACTCCTTTAGTGGATACATAGAATTATTTAAAGTATATTATGTAAACCCCTAGCCTTAGGACCTCAAAATCCTAATACAGGTTATTCCTGTTCCCCATATCAGACACCCACAGACTCCCCTCCTCCCCCAAGTAAAATAACTTACTTCTCTCACAGAGATTGTTTCTTCTACTATGATTTCCATCTCTGACCCAGGCTGGATATCACTTCCCATAGCGAAAAACAGGAACAGCTAAGATTGAGACATAGTGTGAATGCAACTCAGTCTAAATTTTAAAATTCTACAAATTTATTATTTACTCCCAAAAAAGAAAAGTTTCATGTAACCCATGAAGCTTTAATAAAAATATCAAATTATGTAAAACAAAACTATGTTGGGTAATATAATGTTACAATTTAAATAATAATCTCAACTACCTAGAAATGTAAGATGCTTCATCACTAATGTTTTTACTCCTAAAAACCTCCCTCATAGATATTCTTTATTCTTCCATGATCTCCATCTTTCTTGGTCATTCCTCAAAAGGACTTGCAATTACTATACACTATAAGCGTAACTGTGTTTTTCTCTGAATCATTTGGTTTCTGTCCATATACTATGATTCCCAAGACTCTACAGGAAAAATGTGAGTCTGATCTCTTGTCAACTCAGCTGCTTAGAGCCCTATTTTCCTTACCCTTTTAAAAAATATGTCTTTATTGATTTCAGAATGAAAGAGAGCGAGAGAGAGAGAGAAATGTCAATGGTGAGAGAATCATCGATCGGCTGTCTCCTGCATGCCCCCTATGCTGGATCGGGCCCGAAACCCAGGCATGTGCCCTGACAGGGAATCGAACCATGACCTCCTGATTTATAGGTGGACGCTCAACCACTGAGCAACACTGGCCGGGCCTACTTTTCTTTGTAACTCAACTTCACATGCCACGTTTTCCTTCTCCAGCTTGTTCAGGGAAGAAGAAATTAAAGAGAGGTGGCTGGAAAACGAATGAAGTGGATCCAGACAGAGGGTTCCTGATATGAACCAGCTAACCTCGACACAGTCTTAACAATAAGGACATAAATATGACTTTGGGACTGTAATGAAAGTTTACTAAGTAGGTAGGGCTTCTGGCAAAGTCAAACAGATGGTATTTATACAGGAAATGAATACTGATAAAGACCAAGCTGTTGTGAGATATTATTGTGGAGAAATTACAACCAGAATTAATATTCTGTATTGCATTAAATCTAAAATTTAATTAGCTATTACTCATTGCTTTATGTACCACGAAAAAAGAAAACACAGTGCTGGCTATAACTATAGGATGCCATGGACAAAAGATGCAGCCTAATCTCACAGATGTTAAAAGTTGGGGGGGAAAGGGCACATTTCAGAATTTCTGAAATATGGTTGAAACTGGTAGCCATAACATTCCCCTTAACCAGTTTTCACAGAAAAAGAACCTTATGACTATGCTTTGACATAGTATTTTTTATTTACAATCTTTTATTCTCACTCGAGGACATACTTAGAGAGAGGAAGGAAGAGAGAAACATGGATGTGTGAGAGAAATATTGATCTTCCACATGTGCCCTGACCTGGAAATCGAACCCAGCTATATGCCCTCACAGGGAATCTAACTGGCGACCTTTTGGTGCACTAGACGACACTCAACCAACTGAGCAACACTGGCCGGGCTAGTATTTTTTATTTAAACACAGTATTCCTAAAATAAAAGGTTATCATTTAAGGAAAATAAAATGTTTAAGAATTACAGTTTTACTGGAATAGTTAAGGTATCCTATCTAATAAAAGAGAAACATGGTAATTGGCGTACGACCGCTACCCTTCCCATTGGCTAATCAGGGCAATATGCAAATTAACTGCCAGCCAAGATGGCGGCCGGCAGCCAGGCAGCTTGAAACTAACATGAGGCTTGCTTGCTTCAGTGACGGAGGACTCCAACTTTCCCCGCCTGACTTGCCAGCCTCTCAGCTGCAACTCTAAGCAACTATGTTGCAAATATAGAAGCTAAACAAAACCCCAGAAACCTGCTTTACTCAGCCGGGCTTCAGCCAGCCGGACCGCAACATTGTATCAAATACAGACAGTAAACAAAGGCCAGAAACCTGTTTTCAGCATCCGAGGCCTCAGAACTAAAGCTGGCCCAGAATAAAAAGAAAAAAAGGAGCGGTTGGGAGCTTCAGTCACCCGTCAGCCTGAAAACGGCCCTCAGCCCCTCAGCCAGACTGGCCAGGCACCCCAGTGGGGACTCCCACCCTGATCCAGGACACCCTTCAGGGCAAACCAGCCAGCCCCCACCCGTGCACCAGGCCTCTATTCTATATAGTAAAAGGGTAATATGCCTCCCGGCACCGGGATCAGCGGAGCCGCGAGGCCTCCCGGCACTGGGATCAGCGTGACAGGGGGCAGCGCCCAAATCCCCTGATCGCCCTGCGGCTCTGTGTGTGACAGGGTGTAGTGCCCTAACCCCCTGATCAGCCCTGCTCTGTGCGTGACAGGGGGGAGCTCCCCAACCCCCTGATCGACCCTGCTCTGTGTGTGACGATACGGAGCCCCAACCCCCGATGGGCCCTGCTCTGTGCGTGACAGGGGGTGGCGCCGCAACTTCCCTATTGACCCTGCCTTGAGTGTGACAGGGGGCGGTGCCCCAATCCCCCAATCGGCCGTACCCTGAGCGTGACTAGGGGTGGCATCGCAACCCCCAGATCTGCCCTGCTCTGTGCATGACAGGGGGCGGCGCCCCAACTCCCCAATTGGCCCTGCTCTGAGCCCGACCAGGGGCTGCACCTAGGGATTAGGCCTGCCCTCTGCCACCCGGGAGCAGGTCGTTATCTCCTGAGGGGTCCCAGACTGTGAGAGGGCACAGGCCGGGCTGAAGGACCCCCTCTCCCCTACGAATGCACAAATTTTTGTGCACCGGGCCTCTAGTCCTATATAATAAAAGCCTAATATGCTAAGTGTCTGGTCATCCCTTCAACCCATCAAAGTGTAATATGCTAATAATATGCTAAGGCCACTCAACCGCTCCCTAGGATGTGCACTGACCACCAGGGGGCAGACACTCAAAAGGTCAACCAGTTGCTAGGATGTGCACTGACCACCAGGGGGCAGACGCTCTGACCAGGTTAGCTTGCCGCTGGGGTCCAGCTGATCGGGACTGAGCGAGACGGCCAGATATGCCCTGGAGCCCTCTCATGGTCCCTCCCCGTTGGCCAACCTCCTGCGTCCTTCCCTGGCCCCGATTGTGCACTGGTGGGGTCCCTCGGCCTGGCCTGCACCCTCTCACAATCCAGGACCCCTCAGAGAGCCAGTTTCGGCCTGATCACGCAGGCCAGGACGAGAGACCCCACTGGTGCACGAATTGGTGCACTGGGCCTCTAGTGAATTATAAAGTGAAGAACTGACTGTGGGCAGGTGGGTGTGGTGGCCAGGCGATCTCATGTTACCTGAGAGGAAGTTGGTGCTCTTCCAGGACAGAGTCCCAGTGAACTCCCCATCTTCAGTTCTGCTTCCTTCAACGTATAACTGTCTGGCACTACAAAAAATTTTTATAACAGAATGACTATTATTCATTCCTACCTTTCTGGGCAAAATACTATACTTAAATCAATTTTTCTTTTGAAAATCAAGAATGTCAAGAAAGAGAAAGTTGCACTCCATGAAAAAGGGTTATATATATTATTGTTATGTTTGATTTTCTATTTCCAAATGCTAGAATATATTATTCCTGTTATCTGTACAACAATGCTAAGATATGAGGTGACTATGAATATTCTAGAGTCTACTGTCAATAATTAGACTCAATTACATCTAATGACAAGTGTTACAGAGGTTAGAAGAAAGACTCTATTCCACAATAGATATCTCAATAAAGTTAGCAAATTAAAAAACTGACAATAAATCTATAAGGATAAAAGTAGATCAAAAACCCATGACTAAAATGAGGATCAGCTAATCGGAAAGACAGCTGTTTCAAAACAGAAGTGTCTGAATTTTGGTTAAGATATTCTGTAACATATGAGTAAGGCACCTGGATGAAAGTATGTCCTATAAATAAATTTCTAAAAGGTAATTAAAGAATATTAGGTATTGGAAGCCATCATTTAAAGTAAAAGTGTTAAGAAAGTTAGCATGAATATGTGTCAGCTTTTGAAAGCTACCACAAAGATTTACCTGGACAAAGAAGCTTCCCATTTCTATCAATAGGTCTCAAACAGCTGTTCTCAGCTACAAGTAAGAAGAAGCTGGTCAGTGCACCAAAGAAAGGAAACTCAAGAGCCTCTACTGTGTTAATTAGCAGGAAGCTATGATAAGCTAAAACAAAAACAATCCCTCCTTCCCCCAACAACCAGAGAACAAGTACAGGCAGTCTTCACCTTGTACTGCAGTAGCACAGGACTGTAAGAATGCCTTGCAAGCTGAAACGGTGCAAAGCAATCTTAACAGTGAGAAAAACTACAATTTTCTTGCCCTTTAGAAGATACTGTCCTATTTCTTTGAATAAAACATGTCAATAGTGTAAACAGGGCTTGCTTTTTTCAGCTCCTCATATGACTTATGCTACACAGTGAGCATCTTTTCATTTCACAGCAAACTGTCATACTCAGATTTCTAAGTTTGGATCAGCTTCCAATATTTTACATTTTGTGCTTTCACTCATGAAATATGCCCAAGAGCCCCTTTAATGTGAACTGTTTTTTTTTTGCTAGCGTCACTTCTCCTGGGACAGCTTCATTCTTTCTGTCACAACCACGGTCCTCACTTCTGTGGGTAAGTGCCCATTCATAAGTTCCTCCACCTGCGTGGCTAGTCTCTTGAATGACTGCATGTCAACACCTCCATGTCAGCTACTACTTCTATCACTCCACGTGCTTTGTTTCTTTGCAGCACTTTTCTCTTGGTTAGCCAGTTTGATGACCTGTCCTTATAAAATGTCACATGTGTTTACCACTGGGAGAAAAGGAGGCAATGAACTATACACACTCTACTGTCTGTGTGGTGAAATTAATGATCAGACATGCAGTGATGTACGTTTGTTATTTCTGTAGTGATCTGTGGACTGAAGCTGGGAGCCACGTTTGCGCTTTACGCAATTACGCAGTTAAATCCAGTGGTAGCTGGAATTTGAACTGTGTTTCTAGGTCACTGTTACATAATAAACTGTGATAACTGAAACTTGTGCACATAGGAACTTTGCAGAGACTGTCTCTTTAAAATGTTAGGTGATTTTTTTATGCCCATTAAATGGATTAGGGCAGGTGTGCCCTATTTTTGAGGATGCAAATTCCTGTTTTGTGGGAAGGAGTACACCAGGTTTGGTCCAATCAGAATTCTTACAAAGTTGGACATGAAGTGGGGAGGTGGGGAGGGTGGAGCCTTCTGAGAGGGAAAGTATGGCATGGGTCTTAGAAGTCCTAATTTTATTAGATGTTGGCAGAATCTCCTTTCTGAGATTCTTGAGTTCTGTATCCTACACTATAGTCATATGAAACTAGCATATAATTCTAATACAAATTTTTTTATTGTTAATCCTCACCCAAGGATAATTTTCAATTTATTCTCCCCCGTCCCCCCAAAAAAACCACCTTCTAGGATTTTGAGTGAGATTGCATCGGATCCACAAATTAATTTTGAGAGAATTAGCCTCAGCAATATTGTGTCTTCCGACCCAAGAACATGGGACATCTCTCCATTTATTCAGGTTGTTTTTATTTTTCACAGCAATGTTCTCTAGTTTTCAGTGTACAGGTCTTGCACACATTTTGTTAAATTTATCCCCAAGTATTTTAGGATATCTTATTCTAAGTGTTTTCTTAATTTCATCTTCCATTTGTTTTTGTTACCAGTAGGTAAGCATACAATGGACTTTTGTATATGATTTGAATTCCTAATAAACTCACTTATTATTTCTAGTAGCTTTTTAATAGAATTCTTAGGATATACAAATGGACCATAGCACATCAACAGTGCTCACCATCACTGCATAAGGAAAATACAATAGAACACACCATGATCTACCAATTCATATTCACTAGAATGGCTATAATAAAAAATACAGTGCAACTAGTGCCCTGACATATTACTGGTTCAGCCACTTTGGAAAATAGTATGGCAGCTTCTTATAAAGCTAAACATAAATTTGCCATTTGACCCAGCAATTCTAATCCTGCATAAAACAGGATGTCCACACAAAGACAGTGTTTATAGCAGCGGTCGCCAACCAGTGATCCTCGGACCACTGGTGGTCCATGAGGTCCGAAAGGTTGGCAACTGCTGGTTTATAGCACACTATTCATAAAAGCCAAAAAGTGAGTGAATCAATCAACTGGTAAATGAATAAACAAAATGTAACATATCATAGAATGGGATACTAGGAAAAGGAACAAATTACTGATACACAGAAAATCATGGATGAATCAAAAAATGGAGTGCTAAGTGAAAGAAGCCAAACATAAAAAAACAACTTATTATATGGTTCCATTTACATGAAATGTCCAGAAAAGCAAATCTAGACAGATAGAAAGTTAGGTGAGTGGTCATCAGGGGCTCAGAAAGTGAAAAGGAATGAGGGATTGTTTTGGAGTGATGGAAATGTTCTAAAACTCAATTACAGTAAAACTATATACCTCAACTAATAATCACTTAATTAGGCTTCCAACAGGTATTTGATATATAAACTGTGGTATATAAACTGTACCTCAATAAAAGACTGTTAAAGAAAACCCAATGCTGAGTGAATAGTGAATTTATAGAATGCTATACTCAGTATCTTAATTTATGTAAGTGTAAAAACACAATATACACATACACATATATAAGGGAACATAATATATACAATACGAGTCCACAGACTAGACACACACCTAAATCAGATATAGTGGTTGCAACTGGGGAGGGAGAGAGAGTAGGTCTGAGGAGGACACAGAGGGCTTTGTAATGTTTCAAACAAAAACAAACACATGCCAAAATGTTAACATCTGTCCATTTTGGGTGGTACGTGCATGAGTTTTCCCTAAATTATTTTGTTTACTCTCCCATAATTTTTTCAATTAAAAATCAAAACTAAATTAAACCCCAAAGCCAAAAGCAAACATAAACGATTACCTAGTTCCTTCATTAATTTTAATTCCTTTATGGCTTTAATTCGAATATCAAACACCACCTAAAATAGAGAAATAAACTAATGACTGTGTATAAGTTGAAAACAGTGGGAGGAGAAGAAAATGGAGATTGTCAGTGAGTGCATGTACAGATTGAATTATTAATTACCTGATATTTGGTAGTTTTTGCCTACTTAAAAAAAGATTTTTTTCATCCCTGAAATTCCTGTTCTCTCTTCTACAAAGTCAAAATAAAAAACTTAGATTTTAATGGTCAAATTTTTACCAAACTGATGTTAACTGGAACAGAACTCCTATAGAGAATCAGAGAAACAATTCTAGCTAGAAAGAACAAAAACTGACAAACCAGTAACCTTTTTGATGAGAGGAAAAAAAAGAAATTTCAGGTCATCACCTTCCTTTATGTTAAGAATGAATATTCAGTGCCAATAAGCATAAATTATATAAAAATATATAATACTAACCCAAGGGCACTATTTAAAATGTTTAAATTACTTTATTTTAGAACTGTTTTCATTTTAGTTTAGGCTAACTGCCTCTAGGGCAGCGGTCGCCAACCATTTGGACCTCACAGACCACCAGTGGTCCACGGACCACCGGTTGGCAACTGCTGTTCTAGGGCATAAAATTGTGAAAATTTAGGGGTAAAACTGATGTCAGAGATCCACTCTACCCTCACACACTGTGCTAAGAAGGTTCAGGGATTTCACCAAAGTCTCCCAAGTGGGTCAGGGTGGTACGTCTTAAACTTTCCCTTTACTATACCAACAAATATTAATGCACCTTAAGAAATCATAATACTCACAGAAAAGAAACCATTCTAATGGTTCTTTTAATGTTATAGAAAAAAAGCAATGAACTGAGACTACATAAATAAAAAAAGATGTTTTCTGAAATAATGTTTAAGGAAACTAGTATCACAGTCTTCAAATGAAAGACTGGAGGACACCCTTTTAAAGAGAGGATGGCTTTATATAGAGCAGTGGTCGCCAACCTTTCAGACCTGACGGACCACTGGTTGTTGACCACTGCTCCAAAGGTTTCCTTAAACCAGCAGTCACCAACCTTTCAGACCTCACAGACCACTGGTTGGCGACCGCTGATATAGAGCACAGAGTATAATGTAGAGCAATTTCAGTTAAACTTAAAAAACAACACAACACAAAACATATATACCTGTTTTAAAAATTACCAAAATGACCCTTGAAAACAGCATTTCACATTTTGATAAAGATAAATATACGTTCATATTTTGATATAGCATTATATATTTGACAACAAAGCCAGAGGATTCCATTCCAGTTACATAGCTAACTCCCCTTTCTAATTCTAGGCTTTGGAGGGGGGAAAAAGGCACATATTTTCTTGAGATATGCCAAGGACTAATAATAAGTAAACAAGCAATAATCAAGTATTAAAAATAAAATATTGATTTCTTAGGATTTAGAAGTCTGAAACTTTTCTAAAGAGTAAGGTATTGCTTTCTAAATAAAATTGTTAACTAAAACACTGTCAACTAAACTTTAATTATAATCTACTCACTGCGTTAACAGTTGCTGATATTTTAACTTGCTCCTCTTCAGATTCTAATTGACATAAATTATTAACTTGGACCCAGTCAACCTCATTCACAGTAGTGATCCATTTCCCTTGTTTGGTCAACAAACTGTAGATAAAAGATGTTTAAAAAAAAAAGTGTCTTTACAAAGCATTTTTATGGATCAGGAAGAATCAGAAAATCAATACTGTTTCTCTGGCACCACTTCTAAAATCTGCCTCTGTCCCTTAATGTGACTCACTGAAGGTGACCAACTTCTACTGAGCTGGCTTTATGAAAGTTGACTATCTTTTTAGGACAGTGTCAGGCAGTACTCTATGGAGTTTATATTCTAAGGAATCTGTATTAATGACTCAGATATTCTTTGACTTAGACAACTAATTTGTTGCTACACTTTTCAAAGAGAACTGTTGTAATTGAACAATCAGCTGTTGACTTCTGCCTGCACACTTATAACAGTAGGAGGGCTTTAAGAGCAGCTTGCGCAAGGCCCACCCACAGGACTCCGATTTAATAACAGGACAGCCATGTACAGTTGTGCAGACCGACACTGCATCAAAGTGCCACAGCTAAGGGGTATCACTTATATCATACACACTGAATACTTATATTTTTATTATAGAGTGCTATTTTATGATAGCAGATAGCAGTAGAGTGTCTTGTTCTAACAAGCCTTTCCTACAGGTAGTAGTAAAGGATCTTAAGAAAGAAGTGACTTCTTTCTAATTCACATGGAGGCACTGAATGGCTAGTGGAAGTCCTCTTTGGGAGTGCGTATCAGAGCCCTGAAATACAATCCTACTCTTTATTTCAATTATTCCTATTTGGACCCCACGTGAAGTTAGCAATCCTAAATACAGCAAAGTTTTAAGCACAAAGATGTTCCCTGAAGAAACCGTTAAAATAGTGAAAAGCTGATGATGACAATGATGATGATGCTAAAATATTCAGCACTCACTATGTGCACACTCTGTAAGCACTTAACTCTTTCAATTCTTACACCTTTATGAAGTTGGTACTAATTATTATTTAACTTCTTTAAGTAGGCAGAGAGAGATGAAGTAACTTGCCCATGGTCACACTGTTAGGAGGTGATAAAGCTGGAAACAGATCCAGGCAGCTGGTTCCAGAGCCCTTGTCCTTACCCACTACCTGTACTGCCTCCCACAGGAGCAGCTGAGTATACTGTAACATCAACACTGATTCTTATGTAGAATGAGTTTTATGAAGAGTCTACAAACATGGGGAAAGCAAAATATTGCTATCTGCAAAATAACTGGCAGGTTCAAAAAGAAACATTTTCAAAACAAAAAACCAATGATCTGAACTCAGACAAACAGGAAAGCTAACAATGACTGACATGCTTGGGAGGTGCAGTGACACTGTTTGTTGCCAGTCTCCAGTCTTCAGTTCTGTATTTCCCAAGTCCTAATAAGTGTATTACTTTAAAAAAAGAAATATATAATAAACTTTTTAATTAGATACACATGGTGGGGAAGTAAATGTCTGGGAAACACTTACCCAAAAGAATAATAATGATAAATGTTACACAAAATTAGCATAATCATAAATGCTCCTCTGTGTCGCAGGCACTAAATAATACAAAGGCTCTGTAATCTAAGTATATTCACAGCACTGATGAAGCAGGGAACTGACTAGGTTTGTAACCTAAAGTCTCCTATATGTGGAATGGGGGGAGGGAGGTGTTACAGTATGTGACACAATGACTACAGAAACTGACACTCTACAGCAGTGGTTCTCAACCTTCTGGCCCTTTAAATACAGTTCCTCATGTTGTGACCCAACCATAAAATTATTTTCGTTGCTACTTCATAACTGTAATTTTGCTACTGTTATGAATCGTAATGTAAGTATCTGATATGCAGGATGGTCTTAGGCGACCCCTGTGAAAGGGTCATTCGACCCCCAAAGGGGTCGCGACCCACAGGTTGAGAACCGCTGCTCTACAGTGTCAAGACATGGATAACAAAAATGAAGAGAGGCAGTGTTTCTGGGTTCCAAATGCAACTTATGGAAACACGGGCATAGTTCCCCATATAACTGCCCTATGTGGGCAGCTGGGAGGAGCTCAAGAGTCATAAAAAGGATGAAAAACTGAATTGCCGTACGAGATTTTTGTGACAAAATAGTCAGGTAAATTTAGCTATGATCTTAATATAATTCTCATAAAAAATTTCAGGAACTTTGTGAGACTATGTCTTCAATTTTATAAGGAGCGCTAATCAGAATTCCTCAGATAGGATTCTGCTTTATAGCCATCTAATCTTGACTGTATCTTGTTTACATCTATATTATGTAGTTATCACATTACAGTATCATTTTTCTCCAACTTGCCTAACCTAGAACATTCCTACTTACAAAACACAGAACACAATGTCTAGAAATAAAAAGAAACGTTTAACTCTTAGTAAAATAAAGCTTTAGAGTTCTAAAAGATAGTGCTCTAATTTAAATAACTTAAAATTTTTTTTCGAGTTACCTGTTATTATCATTACTGGAATCCTGAATCAGAATCGAGCTTCCATTTCTGAGGCCTTGTTCTCTGAATGTCTTCTTCAAGTCCTCCTTGGGAATGGCAGTCCAGCTCTCTCCACCTACAGATGCAGTATTGCTGGTGAAGATGACACCTCCTGGAATTGCTAAGGCTGTGAATACTGTGCCCACTTCTGCATTAGCTGGGAAGACCAGTGGAGATTCTACCAACTGCCGACACTCTTCACTGCCTGTTGCCGGATGAAGAACATTTAAAAGCAGAGGTTCACAGTCAATACCAGTGGGAATCTGGATTCCGCCAACCTACAATAATGCCAAGACAACCATTAGTATAGTTTACATTTGCCAACATGAAGTCAACACAGTAACAAAAGACTCCTCTTGCAGAATAATTCTCATGTTTTTTCTTTTCAAGTGAAGTTCTCACAAATGTCTTTAAAGTATCAGAAAAATAACTTTAGATATTTCATTTGAAACTTTCTCTTAGCCGTCTTTTATTTTTTAGGAGAGAAATCTGGAGTGGGGACAAAGATGTATGAGTCCTCGGTGGTGGTACTGAAGCCTCGGGAATAAGTGCAAGGGAGACTTCACTGAGTGGCTGAGATGTTCCTCGCCCTTTTCCTGACTTAGAAAGTTCACTCTGAAAACCAAGATGGTGGCATAGGTTAACGCCGGAGTTTGCTGCCTTGAACAACTACTTCAAAAGTGAAACTAAAAGACGGAATGGACATTACCTAGAACCACAGGAACGCTGGCTGAGTGGAAGTCCTACAACTAGGAGGAAAGAGAAACGCATACGGACACTCAGAGGAGGCGCAGTGCTGAAGTCAAATTCTGAGGTGCGGAGTGCGCGGAGCGGGCTGGCGGCGGAGGGCGCGGTTGGCGTTTTCAATCGGGAGGGAGTCGCAGACTCTGAGCTCCAGATCCCGGCGAGTCTTTAGGGACCCAGACTCAAACGGGAGAAGCGGGACTGTCTGGCTTCGGTCAGAGCGAGTGCAGCTTTCTCTCCAAGGTTTGCAGCGGGTGCTGGGACTCAGAGAGGCAGAGCCCCTGGGGACAGGACTGAGAGCCGCCATAACTGCTCTCTCCGGCCCACCCTGTTGATCCTGTGCGACCCGCCCCGCCCAAGCCCTGCACAGAGGCATTTGCCAGATAGTCTCAGGCAAAGGCTAGATTAGCACCTCCCTAGAGGACAGAAGTTCTCTCACTGCAGACACAGCTGATTCTCACAGCCACTTGGCCTAGAGGTCAAACCCTCCCTGGTATTAGCTACAACAATCAAGGCTTAACTACAAGACTGCGCACAAAGACCACTAGGGGGTGCACCAAGAAAGCATAACAAAATGCGGAGACAAAGAAACAGGACAAAATTGTCAATGGAAGATATAGAGTTCAGAACCACACTTTTAAGGTCTCTCAAGAACTGTTTAGAAGCCGCCGATAAACTTAATGAGATCTACAAGAAAACTAATGAGACCCTCGATGTTATGTTGGGGAACCAACTAGAAATTAAGCATACACGGACTGAAATAACGAATATTATACAGACTCCTGACAGCAGACCAGAGGAGTGCAAGACTCAAGTCAATGATTTGAAATGCGAGGAAGCAAAAAACACCCAACCGGAGAGGCGGAATGAAAAAAGAATCCAAAAATGCGAGGATAGTGTAAGGAGCCTCTGGGACAGCTTCAAGCGTACCAACATCAGAATTATAGGGGTGCCAGAAGATGACAGAGAGCAAGATATTGAAAACCTATTTGAAGACATAATGACAGAAAACTTCCCCCACCTGGTGAAAGAAATGGACTTACAGGTCCAAGAAGCGCGGAGAACCCCAAACAAAAGGAATCCAAAGAGGACCACACCAAGACACATCATAATTAAAATGCCAAGAGCAAAAGACAAAGAATCTTAAAAACAGCAAGAGAAAGAAACTCAGTTACCTACAAGGGAATACCCATATGACTGTCAGCTGATTTCTCAACAGAAACTTTGCAGGCCAGAAGGGAGTGGCAAGAAATATTCAAAGTGATGAATGCCAAGAACCTACAACCAAGATTACTTTATCCAGCAAAGGTATCATTCAGAATTGAAGGTCAGATAAAGAGCTTCACAGATAAGGAAAAGTTAAAGGAGTTCATCACCACCAAACCAGGATTATATGAAATGCTGAAAGGTATCCTTTAAGAAGAGGAAGAGGAAGAAAAAGGTAAAGATACAAATTATGAACAACAAATATGCATCTATCAACAAGTGAATCTAAGAATCAAGTGAATAAATAATCTGATGAACAGAATGAACTGGTGATTATAACAGAATCAGGGACATAGAAAGGGAATGGACTGACTATTCTTGGGGGGGAAAGGGGTGTGGGAGATGCGGGAAGAGACTGGACAAAAATCGTGCACATATGGATGAGGACAGTGGGTGGGGAGTGAGGGCGGAGGGTGGGGCGGGAACTGGGAGGAGGGGAGTTATGGGGGGGAAAAAAGAGGAACAAATGTAATAATCTGAACAATAAAGATTTAATTAAAAAAAAAAAGAAAGTTCACTCTGCTCTTACAAGTCACCTCTACTCCCTAATTCAATAGAGCTATAAGTCCCCTTCTGAGTTCCCACAGGGAATATGCACAGACACCTCCTCTCCCCAGCACTTAGTGCAGTTATACCATAAAACCTGAATCTTTGTATTTAGCTTCTGACACCTAGCCTGGCAGAGAGGAGGTGCTCAATAAATATCTCTTTAACACATAACTACTACTAACTGTACCTAAAATTTATTAAATATTTCAGTAGTTTTCTAATACCTAATTGCCTTCACATATGCTGAATAAAATTTCATTACGACTTAAAAAATCCAAAACTATCATGAATATTTCTTCAATATTTTCTTACCTCCACTCCATTCCATACAAAGATGTCTTCCTCATCAGCAATTTCAATGTCACACAATGTCAGATCATCTCCTAGGACGAGGAGGTAGTCAGTGAGACCATTCATCTAAAGAAAGAGCTGAGACACTTAAATATTTTTTTTTGAAAAATCTTTCCCATTAAGAAAAATTAAGAAGGTAGTAACCATATTTAGTATATCACTTTTATCTTTATTTCTCCCATCACACCCTTTAGTTTTTTTCCTTATGTAAGCATTTCCCCATGTTGCTGCATAAGTTTTGTGAGCATGACAGCAGGAAAAGAGTTTAATATAAAGTCAACTGTACTTAACCCTGTGAACAGAAGAATTAGGCATCAAATGGTCCCAGCTCCACTACTAATTAGCTGTTATGTCCTTGTGTACTTCAAGTTCTACACTTCAATTTTCTCATGTATAAAATGGAGATAAAGGAACTTTGTAACAATCAAATGAGATAATTTATATAAAACACTTATCTTAGTATTTGGCAGAGTGAAGCCCAAAATAACTGTTACCACTGTGACTGCGATTATTACTGTTTTGTTGTTATTTAAAGGAAGTAAATACTTTCAAGCTCTCAAAGTACATTTGTTTGTTTTGCTACAAAATGTGAAGCTAAGAGTTGGGTTAAAAAATCATGCTACATAGCCCTGGTTGGGTGATTCAGTTGATTGGAGAACTGTCCTGTACACCAAAGGTTACAGGTTCAATTAATTAACAAATTAATTTGGTACAGAGGCAGCCTTAAATTTCAGAAAATATAAAATGTTTCCATGTTAGCAAAATTTTACATGTTACATAAATTGGACACATTATAAACTGGATAAATTACATAGTTAACCTCGATGAGGGGGTGGGGGGATGAGAAGAGATAAACCAAAGAACTTACATACTTATATGCATAGCCCATTGACATGGGCATTAGGGTAGTGAAGAAGGGGGAGGGGGAGGGGCTTAGAGAAAGGGGGGAAAGGGGAGGAAATGGGAGATACTGTAATACTATCAACAATAAAAAAAATTTATAAGTAAATTGAAAAAAAAAAAAAGAAAGTAGTAGGTAGCGGGGAAGACTGGCCAGGAGTAGAAAATCATAGATGAGCCCCACAAAAATATAAATATATAAAATGAACTGCTGTGTCTTAATATTTATCTTACCATCAAGTGTCTGATAGATGTGAAGTCCTGCTGGTACAAACTTTGCAACACTAAGGACCATGTCTCCTTCCCAAAATTCTAACAGCTACAGAATATTTGTAAAAGAAAAAGAGAACAAGAAAAAAACATATATCACATTTCCAGATTAAATAAGACAGGTAATGTGCCAATATACATATGTGGAAGATACAGAGAGCAAACAAATGAATACCCCCATCCCACCCAAAAGGGAAAGTAAGGAAAGAAGGTATCACTCATTGTTACATCAGAGATGTTAATCTCCCCCATTAGTGATGGAAAAATCTTGGCTTACACAAAGGGCACAACAACCATCTAAACAATTCTATGTAACTTATGGGAAGACACTTTTATCAGAGGCAAACTAACCAACGTGCCAGCCCAGGAATCTGTCCAAAAGAGCAAAATGATTTAATCAGTGCTGTTCAGAAAAAGCGGCACTGACTCTAACACCTGAAAGGAATGCTTCCCACTATAAATTTAAACCGTGTAACAGATTATCGGGGGTTTGTTTTATAAATTTGTAGATCCAAGACTCTGGGGACTGTGGTAACCTCTACAAAATAACATCACCCATAAAGATTAGTTCTATTTAGTCTCTCTCCACAATACCACAAAACAGTTCTCTTGAGAAGAAATTTCATATTTATAAGCGATTAGTTAACTGTCAATCTCACAGCCTCTTGCCAGTGGCTGGCTTCTAAGATAACAGACCTGCACTTAAAGGTCCTTTTCATTTATCACCTAATGTCATCTTAGGGTCAGATCCCCAACTCCACTTCATCAACACTGCCAGGACTGGCTCCGAAATAAACTTTTAATGCAAAAGTTCAGAAATATTAGACAATTTTAGAAATCCTGATGCTGATCCAACATTTAAATATAATTCAAATCAACTAAAGTTAAAAAAAACTGGCCTGCTTTTCTTTGTACAATAGGAAAGTCAAAAAAAAGGCTAATAATTTTAGTAATTGATAGTGTTTCAGAAAATTCAATTATTTCCGGAAAAGAAAAAAAAAGCTTACATTTTCTGTTTCTCTTTTCCTAGATCAGGAAGTACAGTGGGGAGAAGAAAGAGTAGGAAGACCAGGACAGGAATCCTAGTTCCACCACTAACTAGATGTCTGACCTCAGACAATCACAAATAAATCACAATCTCTTCATCTTAGGGTTAGCTTGTCCCAGGAGGTAAAAGAACCAAATGACATAATTAATATGAAAGCCCTGGGGGTAAAATAAAGAGCAGTCTTTTTATTGTCATTAAAATACAACTGGATAAATTATTTGGAAAAAATGATTACGACAATGTTTGACTATAAACCAGTAGGTATTTTCCTTCACTTAGCAATCCTATTAATAAACTAGAGGCCCAGTGCACAAAATTTGTGCACAGGTAGGGTCCCTAAGCCAGGCCAGTGATCAGGGCTGGCCAGGGCCTTCCTTCATTCCGCACCGCCCCCTGGTGATCACTGCACATCATAGCGGGCGGTCAACTCCCAAGGGGACAATTTGCATATTAGCCTTTTATTATATGGGATGCTATTCTGTACTGAAAGGTAGAAGTGAGCTGCTTTTATTTGTTCAGTAGTTCTTAGTTTTAGACAACTTGCTTATCTTTATCTCTTCATTACATTTAAACACACTTTTTAAAAAATATATATATATTTTATTGATTTTTTTACAGAGAGGAAGGGAGAGGGATAGAGAGTTAGAAACATCGATGAGAGAGAAACATTGATTAGCTGCCTCCTGCACATACCCCACTGGGGATGTGCCCGCAACCAAGGTACATGACCTTGACCGGAATCGAACCTGGGACCCTTGAGTCCGCAGGCCAACGCTCTATCCACTGAGCCAAACCGGTCAGGGCTAAACACACTTTTTACATTAATTTTTCAAAAAAGAGACAACTTGGTACTCTCACCCCAAAATAAAATATGCCAGTTTGATTCTGCCCCTGCAAAGTTCCTGCAGGACTATGCCTTGACTGGCATAGAAGCCTCTCTCTAAAAGACTGACCAGTGAGGGGAGAACACCGAGCCATCCCTCTATGGAACTGGCTGATTTTCCTAAGCAGCTTTGAAAAATAAATAGTCATATCCTATCTAATAAAAGAGAAACATGGTAATTGGCGTACGACTGCTACCCTTCCCATTGGCTAATCAGGGCAATATGCAAATTAACTGCTAGCCAAGATGGTGGCCATCAGCCAGGCAGCTTGGAACTAACATGAGGCTTGCTTGCTTCAGTGATGGAGGACTCCAACATTCCCCGCCTGCCGCTGCAGGCCTCTGAGCTGCAAGCAACTATGTAACAAACATAGAAGCTAAACAAAACCCCAGAAACCTGCCGGGCTTCAGCCAGCAGGATCGCAACATTGTAAGCAAAGGCCAGAAACCTACTTTCAGCAGCGGAGGCCTAAGAGCTGGAGCCAAGCCTCAAAGCTAAAGCTGGTCCAGAATAAAAAAAAAAGAAAGAAAAAAAGGAGCAGTTGGGAGCTTCAGTCACCCCCAGACTGAAAACAGCCCTCAGCTCCTCACCCAGACTAGCCAGGCACCCCAGTGGGGACCCCCACCCTGATCCAGGACACCCTTCAGGGCAAACCAGCCGGCCCCCACCCGTGCACCAGGCCTCTACCCTATATAGTAAAAGGGTAATATGCCTCCCAGCATCGGGATCAGCGGAGCCGCGAGGCATCCCGGTACCGGGATCAGCGTGACAGGGGGCAGCGCCCAAACCCCCTGATCGCCCTGCGGCTCTGTGTGTGACAGGGTGTGGCGCCCCAACCCCCTGATCGGCCCTGCTCTGTGTGTGACAGGGTGCGGCGCCCCAAACACCCCCCCCCCACACACGGGCCCTGCTCTGTGTGTGACGGGGTAGAGCCATAACCTCCCCATCGGCCCTGCCCTGCGTGTGAGAGTGGCGGCACCTAACCCCCTGATCGGCCCTGCTCTGTGCGTGACAGGGTACAGAGCCCCAACCCCCCTGATGGGCCCTGCTCTGTGAGTGACAGGGGGAAATGCCCCAACCCCCTGATTGGCCCTGCTCTGTGCATGACAGCAGGTGGTGCCGCAACCTCCCCATCGACCCTGCCTTGAGTGTGACAGGGGATGGTGCCCCAACCCCCCAATTGGCCCTACCCTGAGCCTAACTGAGGGTGGAATCACAACCTCCGGATCGCCCTGCTCTGTGTATGACAGGGGGCGGCGCCCCAACTCCCCAATCGGCCCTGCTCTGAGCCCGACCAGGGGCTAAACCTAGGGATTGGGCCTGCCTTCTGCCACCCGGGAGCAGGCCTAAGCCAACAGGTCGTTATCTCCCGAGGGGTCCCAGACTGCGAGAGGGCACAGGCCGGGCTGAGGGACCCCCCTCCCCCCAAGTGCACAAATTTTTGTGCACCGGGCCTCTAGTCTTAAATAGGATTTTTGAAAAGAAATCCAGCTTGAGATGGACCTTAATGTCTAAATTAAGAGGAAGTGCAGCTAAATTACCTGAAATATTGATTGTCGAAGATCTCCCAAAGTTTTTCTTTTATCAAAGGTTAAATCCCACACGCTTTCTGTTTGAGAGACTACTGGGTGCAGGGCTCCATTGAAGAAATGATAATGAGGTCCCAGGTGGAGATGCAATTCAAAGATATTGTTTGTAGAATCATATTCTGTCCTTTAAAGAGGCATAAAAAGTACATAAATGCTATGTTTTTACAACAAACAGGGTCATTTCAAACCAAAAATATTTGATTTACAATATAAATAAGTTCTCCATTCCACCTAAGTTAATTATAATTAACATCATTTTTCAATGCTCCAAAATGACTCATTTCAGCTTCTCAATAGCAAAATTTCAGCTCTGCCACCATGCATTCCAAGGAAAATGTATTTTAACGTACATTGTACAATGTTACTCTGAATACTGACACTCAAACTCTTCCAATCCTGAGATTATAAACAAAATGCTAGAAACTTGCTCCTAATAACTGTGAAGTGTCAGATTTACAAACTTTTAATTCATCCTGACTTCCACTAGCTCCATAGAGTTTCCCTTGGAATATCTGAGGTTGAACTAATAATCCTCCTGAGTCTACTCCCGCCAGGCCCAATGTCCTCAGCAGCAGCCTTGAAGCATGGTGCCCAACACTCTACTCCAGGCAGTTGGGCCAATGGAGAGTGGAGGAGACTTTTGCCACCGTCCAGATACTTCTGACACAGTCTATTAATGTGGTCAAAGACAGCATCAGCTTTTTTGATGACCACATGACTAAAATCTCTTGGTGTTCTTTTGTTTGTTTGTTTAATACCATCTGCTAAGCCACACCACTCATGCAGGTTATTTTTCATCCTTAAGATACCTTACTCTTTTGGGGAGAAAGAACCAAGATGGTGGCATAGGTTAACGCTGGAGTTTGCTGCCTTGAACAACTACTTCAAAAGTGAAACTAAAAAACGGAACGGACATCACCCAGAACCACAGGAACGCTGGCTGAGTGGAAGTCCTACAACTAGGAGAAAAGAGAAATGCATACGGACACTCAGAGGAGGCGCAGTGCTGAAGTCAAATTCTGAGGTGCGGAGTGCGCGGAGCGGGCTGGCGGCGGAGGGCGCGGTTGGCGTTTTCAATCGGGAGAGAGCCGCAGACTCTGAGCTCCAGATCCCGGCGAGTCTTTAGGGACCCAGACTCAAACGGGAGAAGCGGGACTGTCTGGCTTCGGTCAGAGCGAGTGCAGCTTTCTCTCCAAGGTTTGCAGCGGGTGCTGGGACTCAGAGAGGCAGAGCCCCTGGGGACAGGACTGAGAGCCGCCATAACTGCTCTCTCCGGCCCACCCTGTTGATCCTGTGCGACCCGCCCCGCCCAAGCCCTGCACAGAGGCATTTGCCAGATAGTCTCAGGCAAAGGCTAGATTAGCACCTCCCTAGAGGACAGAAGTTCTCTCACTGCAGACACAGCTGATTCTCACAGCCACTTGGCCTAGAGGTCAAACCCTCCCTGGTATTAGCTACAACAATCAAGGCTTAACTACAAGATTGCGCACAAAGACCACTAGGGGGTGCACCAAGGAAGCATAACAAAATGCGGAGACAAAGAAACAGGACAAAATTGTCAATGGAAGATATAGAGTTCAGAACCACACTTTTAAGGTCTCTCAAGAACTGTTTAGAAGCCGCCGATAAACTTAATGAGATCTACAAGAAAACTAATGAGATCCTCGATGTTATATTGGGGAACCAACTAGAAATTAAGCATACACGGACTGAAATAACGAATATTATACAGACTCCTGACAACAGACCAGAGGAGCACAAGAATCAAGTCAATGATTTGAATTGCGAGGAAGCAAAAAACACCCAACCGGAAAAGCAAAATGAAAAAAGAATCCAAAAATGCGAGGATAGTGTAAGGAGCCTCTGGGACAGCTTCAAGCGTACCAACATCAGAATTATAGGGGTGCCAGAAGATGACAGAGAGCAAGATATTGAAAACCTATTTGAAGAAATAATGGCAGAAAACTTCCCCCACCTGGTGAAAGAAATGGACTTACAGGTCCAAGAAGCGCAGAGAACCCCAAACAAAAGGAATCCAAAGAGGACCACACCAAGACACATCATAATTAAAATGCCAAGAGCAAAAGACAAAGAGAGAATCTTAAAAACAGCAAGAGAAAGATACTCAGTTACCTACAAGGGAATACCAATACGACTGTCAGCTGATTTCTCAACAGAAACTTTGCAGGCCAGAAGGGAGTGGCAAGAAATATTCAAAGTGATGAATACCAAGAACCTACAACCAAGATTACTTTATCCAGCAAAGCTATCATTCAAAATTGAAGGTCAGGTAAAGAGCTTCACAGATAAGGAAAAGCTAAAGGAGTTCATCACCACCAAACCAGGATTATAAGAAATGCTAAAAGGTATCCTTTAAGAAGAGGAAGAGGAAGAAAAAGGTAAAGATACAAATTATGAACAACAAATATGCATCTATCAACAAGTGAATCTAAGAATCAAGTGAATAAATAATCTGATGAACAGAATGAACTGGTGATTATAATAGAATCAGGGACATAGAAAGGGAATGGACTGACTATTCTTGGGGGGGAAAGGGGTGTGGGAGATGCGGGAAGAGACTGGACAAAAATCGTGTACCTATGGATGAGGACAGGGGGTGGGGAGTGAGGGTGGAGAGTGGGGCGGGAACTGGGAGGAGGGGAGTTATGGGGGAAAAAAAGAGGAACAAGTGTAATAATCTGAACAATAAAGATTTAATTAAAAAAAAAAGATATCTTACTCATTTTAAGTTTTTAAATTTTTAGTGTCTTGATTTTTGAGATTTCCTTTCATCTTGGCTTGCCATTCAATATACCTGCTATTTTCTCCCCAGGTTCAAGGCAATGATAAAAATGTTGAACACGCTGAAGCCGGTTTGGCTCAGTGGATAGAGCGTCGGCCTGAGGACTGAGAGGTCCCAGGTTGGATTCCGGTCAAGGGCATGTACCTGGGTTGCGGGCACATCCCCAGTAGGAGATGTGCAGGAGGCAGCTGATCGATGTTTCTCTCTCATCGATGTTTCTAACTCTCTATCTCTCTCCCTTCCTCTCTGTAAAGGATCAATAAAATATATTTAAAAAAAAAAAATGTTGAACACACACACCCCTGCTACATAAGCAGCCACCTCGGCCCACGAAAAGACCATGGGACTTCCATTTCTCTAACCCAATACCCCACAGACTATGTCAGAGAGCAAATAAAGAACCAATTCTTCAGGGGCCAAGATTAGACATCCAAAGAAAATAATGCTGAGACCATTAAGTTATCACAAAACACCCACTTAATAATCCATTACAAGTTTTTGACCAAGACTGACAGTAAGCCCCATAGTTTGTAGAATCTACATTTCCTTCCTTTGCCCACTTCTGTTCTGCCAGTTCTCCACAACTACTTAAGTATGAGGGGTGATTTTCACAGCAGGTTCTCTTTGTACCAAGGGAATAACCTGACAGGCTAGGATACAATTCATTTAGCTAACTATGTGCTCACAGATTTCTCTAGTCTTATGCCGGAAGTCGGTCCATCCTTGCTGCTTGACACAGTCGCTGCAGGAAAGAAACATCTGCACAGCATATGTTTCAAGGGACTTGGCGTATATAGCATACTGTTCTTAATATGTTTGCTCCCCTTAGCGCTGTGTGTTTTAACCAAGGTCACCTCTCCAAGAAAGGTTGTTTCCCCAGGTAGGAATTTTTCCCTGAAGTCAGGGAGGGGATGCCTCTCCTAGAAAGGTTGTTTCCCCAGGTAGGAATTTTTCCCTGAAGTCAGGGAGGGGATGAAACTCCTTAACTAAGTGCCAGGCGGGTAGTTAATCACTACAAACAATCATGCTTAAGCTACATAATCTTTACTCCCTGGAATGGAGATAAGAAACGCCCTAACCTTTGTAATAGAAACTGACAGGATTAAAATCAACTGGGATAAATACGGATGTAACAAGACAATAAACAGCAGAACTTCGCTGGAGATCCAGACCAGAACTTGGCTGGAGATCCTGGCTAGGCTGCTGAGCAACTGAACACTGTCTCCGTGTCCTTCCTTCTTCGCCGACTCCGTCTACACCTTTGGGGACCCCTGGACCTGCTGGGGTTGGACCCCGGCAGTCTTAGGCTTCAATTCTTACTTAGCAATGGCCATTTACATGTCATTATTTCGTTCACTCTCACACGATAAGGATAATTTCAAAGTCAAAGATAATCTCACTATACAGATTCAGCTGAAAACAAATATTGGCATTAACTAGATGACTTTTTTCTTTCTTAATTTTCATTATTAAATACTTAAGACCTAATTTAGATTAATTCTCCAGAAAAACCATTCAATCTCTAAAAGTAAGTTAGTTACCTTTTTGTTTGCAGTTCAATGTTGGCTGCATCCATTTCATTCAGCAAATGACATGGAACCCTGTATCTTGGATTAGCTCGAGCTGTGGACAAAATTTTTCATTAACTTGTGCTGACTAAATGAAAACTGGTTGCTGAAAATTAGCAAGGAAAACTAGAAAGCTTTATCTGTGTGAACAACCATTTTCTCTGGATCTCAGTTTTCCATCTGAAAAATTAAAACATTAGAACAAATGACAGGTACACAGTTCCTTAGGTCAAGTTAGAAGAATTCCACTTTTTCAACTCTCCTTAAATATACCTTTTAAAATGAACACCAACTATTTTCTTTTTGATAATAATTGTAATAATCTGTCACTGTAAAAATTCTGAAAATCATTTAAAAATTGATATTACCTATAATCTCATTCCCAAAAGATACCGCTAAAATATATGCTTTTGGTCTTTTTTTCTATACTACACAATGTGTCTTGTACACACACACACACACACACACACACACACACACACACACTTATTTAAAGCAATTAAATTTGTTACAAAATGGAATTATTTTCAACAAATTTGTAACTTGCTTTTTCATTGCATATACTGCTGAGTATTTTTCCAAAGCTTTAAATGACTGCAGAGTTGTCCATTCTTTAAATAGCATAATTAATCTAACCAATCTTCCTGTTAGACATTAAGGTGATTTCCATTAGTCATTATTACAAAACAATGGGGTTAACAAACATCTTTGAACATAAACAGTTATACACAGCTCTGATTATTTCAAGACAAATTTGTAGAAGTAGCATTAATTTAAGGGTTTTAAACACATACAACCAAATTGGCTATATTACTTTATATGCCTACTAGCTACAGAGGAAATGCCAACCGTTGAGCATCAGAATCTTAGAAATATTTGACTTGGTAGGAAGAGTGTCGTTATCTCAATGCTGTGTTGTTGTTTTTTAAACCTCACCTGAGGATATTTTTTCCATTGATTTCTCTCTAGAATCAATGGAGAGGGAATGGGGGAGAGAGAGAAACATCTATGAGAGACACATTGATTGGTTGCCTCCCCTAAACACCCCTACCTTTGGTTCCCAGGCTGATGCTCTAACCATTGAGCAAAACCCAGCCAGGGCCGAAGCCGGTTTGGCTCAGTGGATGGAGCATTGGCCTGCGGACTGAGGGGTCCCGGGTTCGATTCCAGTCAAGGGCGTGTGCCTGGGTTGCGAGCACGTCCCCCGTGGGAGATGTGCAGGAGGCAGCTGATCGATGTTTCTCTCTCATTGATGTTTCTAACTCTCTCTCTCCCTTCCTCTCTGTAAAAAATCAATAAAATATATTTAAAAAAAAAAACAGCCAGGACTCAATGCTGTTTGGATTCACATTTTTTATTATGAGTTAGGTTGATTTTTTTAAAATTTTCTTTTTATTTTCTTTTTTATTGTTTAAAGTATTACATATGTCTCCCTTTTCCCCCATTGACCCCTCCCCGGCCACTCCCACCCCCCAGGACAAGCCCCCACTGCCCCCGTGTCCGTGTCCATTGGTTATGCTAACATGCATGCACAGAAGTCCTTTGGTTGATCTCTTATATCCCACCCGCTCTTCCTTGCCTTCCCTCCAAGGTCTGACAGTCCATTTGGTATTTCTGTCTCTGAATCTATTTTTGTTCATCAGTTCATTATATTCCACTAATGAGATCATGTGATACTTATCTTTCTCTGACTGGCTTATTTCACTTAGCTTAATGCTCTCCAGGTTCATCCATGCTGTTGCAAATAGTAAAAGTTCCTTCTTTTTACAGCAACATAGTATTCCACTGTATAGATGTACCACTATTTTTGAATCCACTCATCTGCTGATGGGCACTTAGGCTATTTCCAAATCTTAGCTATTGTAAATTGTACTGCTATGAACACAGAGGTGCATATATCCTTTCTGATTGGTGTTTCTGATTTCTTGGATATATTCCCAGAAGTAGGATTACTGGGCCGACCGGGAATTCTTTTTTAATATTTTGAGGAAACTCCATACTGTCTTCCACAGTGGCTGCACCAGTCTGCATTCCCACCAGCAGTGCACGAGTGTTCCTTCTCTGCATCCTCGCCAGCACCTGCCCTTTGTTAATTTGTTGATGGTAGCCACTCTGTGACAGGTGTGAGATGGTACCTCATTGTCGTTTATATTTGCATCTCTCAGATGATTAGTGACTTTGAGCATGTTTTTATATGTCTCTTGGCCTTCTGTATGTTCTCTTTCAGAAAGTGTCTAAGTCCTTTGCTCATTTTTTGATTGGATTGTTTATCTTCCTTTTGTTAAGTTGTATGAGTTCCCTATAAATTTTGGAGATTAAACCCTTATCGGAGATAACATTGGCAAATATGTTCTCCCATGCAGTGGGCTTTCTTGTTTTTGTAATTTTTTTATTTGCAGTTTATTGGTTGTTTCTACTTCTTTATTTTGCATATTGCTTATTTATAAATATACTTTTCCCAATTTACTATTAACGACAATGGAATATATATAAAAGCACTCTACAGATAGCAAAATATCTGACAAATGTATTTCCTCTATTTTCCATAGCTTAATATTGTTGAAGGTTTATATCACTTTTCCTTAAATTTTTTCCTTTCTTTGCTTTTAAGCTTAAAAAGGTCTTTACCTTAAGATTAGAAATATATTTCTATTTATACATCTTAAGTTACTTTTTTGCATAAACATTAAAAGAACTATAATTTAATTCAAGTGATTACTATAATCATAGCTTTATGTTTTTACTGAGAGCAAATTTTCCTTCAATAGTCCATTCTTCAATTTTCATTGATTTATCTCTACGTAAATTTCAGAAGCACTTTGTCAAGTTCCATTCCTTCATTCCCCAGAAAAGTCCATCAAAATTTTGGCTGGACCTTTATTCAATTCCCAAGCTAATTAGAAAACTGTCATTTAGTACATATTTCAATTATGTACTAAACTTCATTTTAGTGACAAAGACAACACTCCATCTGAAGATAGTCTTTTTCTGTTAATGTTTTTATAACTGTGACTTCTGCTCCACGATGTATTTATGAGAATCATTATCATATCTTTTTTCCCCTTAGAAAAGTACAAAGCCCTTTCTGGTCAATAGAATAGTTATGTAACTGTTTCAGATCCAGAAAGTTAATTCCTTTTCACTGACATGCAAATTATTTATTCTTTGTTCTTATTCTTTATAAAAAATGATCACCTTTCTCATTTTCTAACAACAGTATCCTCATCTCTAATCATATCTTTAATCTAAAGAGCTTTCTAGTTAGGATGTTTTACTTTTGAGTAGATCTTAGGAAGTGATCAAGTCTTACACACTGATTTAATACGTTAGTGCCTTAAATTAAAAAAATTATCATTGTGTGTCTCAATGTTTAACCTCTTGGTTCAAGCTCTCTTAGATGGTTCAACAACGAGTACATCAAAGATACTTTAACTGCTCAGAAAATATTACCTTGAAGGAAAGATACAGGAAAAGAAAATAAAAGGGAATATATGAAAATGCGACCAAAGCCACTAACAACTAAAAGGCAACACATGGGCAGATGACAGAGTCACACCTGAGGACAGGGCAACAACACTCAAATCTGCTCACAGTATGTGATCCAAGAAAACCCAATTCTGAAAATCTGACTATGGCCTCATATTAGAGAAAAAAATAATTAGAAATATAGGTTCTTAAATGTGACAGATGGTTGGATTTCTTTCAGCAACATATATTTCTTACTATTAGCTTAAAAATATTTTTAAGTGTTTCAAGAGTAAACCTCCTTTTAAAAGGGTAACAATACAAATAGAATTTAATATTTATCTTTTTAAACTCATCAACTTAAACAAACAGGAACATTTTTCTTTCCATACCTTCAGGTGGTCTCTGCAACTGGGATTTCCGGTAAAACAACATATAGGCGCTCTCTTTGCCCTGAAATTGCTGTTTAATATCCTTTTCCTCAATGGGTTGGACCTTGGAATCATTTATATCAAACCAGTGGGAACAGGAGGTTCTATCATTTAATCCTGGGGATTCTGAAGTAAGTGTCTTGAAAATTTGTTGATCCTTCCTTTGCAAATCAGACTCAGCCTGCAGAGAAGAGTTCTTCAATAGACTGACTTTACTTTGATCTGAACTGAGTAGAAAGATCTGAGAATGAAGCTGTAAGAACTAGACAGAAACAAACAAACAAAAATACTAGGTTAACAAAAAAATTTTTTTAAGATTGGAAGTGATTTTTTAAAAAACCTTCATCTTCTTTTCTGATATCAGATATTTTAACTTCCCTTTTATTTTTGGCCTGACCAGCTACGAGGGAAAAAACAGCCATTTCAGCCATAATAAAAACATTTAATAAAAATCAAAGTTCTCTCTGTTAATCTAATAGATGTATCAAGAAAGTTGTCATGCCACAATCTAAAAAATATTTTCATTATACCTCAATAATGCTGTTTTAAAACGTACTTTATGGAAACAGATTAGGAAGAACAAGCAGTTTTAAAGTATTTAAAGCAACGGAAACAAAGCACAAAACAAAGGCAATCACATGGTGAAGCCTCAGAGAAGATAATTTCAAGACTAGTGACTCAGACTAATTCTGCTGGGATAAATTAGAAATTGCAAGCCTAAATTATTGCTTCACATTAACTAAATTGAATGTTTTCTGTCCAGGAAGCTGACAGGCTAGGCTAGCTCAGGAAATCAAAACATAAAAAGGCTTGTCATAATCCCAAAGACCATTTCTCAGGTTCTTCTAGCTCAGTGGTTCTCAACCTTCCTAATGCCGCAACCCTTTACTACAGTTCCTCATGTTGTGGTGACCCCCAACCATAAAATTATTTTTGTTGCTACTTCATAACTGTAATTTTGCTACTGTTATGAATCATAATGTAAATATCTGATATGCAGGATGTATTTTCATTGTTACGAATTGAACATAATTAAAGCATAGTGATCAATCACAAAAACAATATGTAATTATATACGTGTTTTCCGATGGTCTTAGGCGAATCCGGTGAAAGAAAGGGTCGTTCGATCCCCAAAGGGGTCGCGACCCACAGGTTGAGAACCACTGTTCTAGCTAAAGGATTAGGAAGAACACTGTTCTCTCTCCACTGCCTATCCCACTGCTTCCTCCCCTACTCCTCTTCTCTCATTCCCTAATCTCTGTGCTGCCTTGCATATCCTTTTCTCAGTACAAAGTTATCTTATATAGGAAATCGCTTGGCAGGTATATGTAACATTCACTGAGCTCATCAATCATTATGGAAAGGTGAAAAGCTTCTCTTGCAAAGAAATAATCTATGATAATGCCAACTCTCAAATCTGAAGTATTATTTTATTACAAATAGAAGGGCATATGGTATATGACAAAATATTGTTAACACTGCGTGTAACTGTTGATAAAATAGGTTTGTAGCTAACTTGTTTTAGGTACAATAAAATATCAAACATTTGAAACCTCTGAGTAATGAACTTTTTGAAAAGTTAATTTTTTCTTTGCTTGATAGTTGAGATTAACTCTTTTAAAAAGATTCAAACTTCACTGAAGTCAGCTCCCAGTAGCAGCAGAGCCTACTTTCCATAAGAACTTACCACTTTGTTCTTCAAGGAAGGTGAATTCCCCGACACCAGAAACCTCAATTTACTTTATGAATAAAACCCAGAAATGAAGATGGGCTTTAGCCTACTGCACTTGATGGATGACTAGGGAGTCTATACATTCATTCAGCTTTCTCAGTACCTATATAGAGTATTATACTGTATATTGTGTTATGTAAAGGAAGTAACTAATTAAGTGCCAGATATGTAGACCCAACTTACTGGGTTCTCATAGTATTATCTCCATCCATCCCCAATTAGTATCACTTACTCTTCCGAAGAACTGATCAAGAATATAGACTTCACAAAAGTTTTATCAACAAACTTTAATGAAAACAAGAATTATTATGATAACTGCAGTAGTGACATTTATATCACATTGTATTTTTTTTTTTAATTTTGAAATGTTTTATTTGGAAATGTCGTAATTACCTTTATTTTTTTATTTTTTTTAATTAAATCTTTATTGTTCAGATTATTACAGTTGTTCCTCTTTTTTCCCCCCATAGCTCTCCTCCACCCGGTTCCCACCTCACCCTCCACCCTCACTCCCCACCCACTGTCCTCATCCATAGGTGTATGATTTTTGTCCAGTCTCTTCCGGCACCCCCCACACCCTTTCCACCCTGAGAATTGTCAGTCCACTCCCTTTCTATGCCCCTGATTCTATTATATTCACATTTATTCTGTTCATCAGATTATTTATTCACTTGATTTTTAGATTCATTTGTTGATAGATATGTATTTGTTGTTCATAATTTTTATCTTTACCTTTTTCTTCTTCTTCCTCTTCTTAAAGAATACGTTTCAGCATTTCATATAATACTGGTTTGGTGGTGGTGAACTCCTTTAGCTTTTCCTTATCTGTGAAGCTCTTTATCTGACCTTCAATTTTGAATGAAAGCTTTGCTGGATAAAGTAATCTTGGTTGTAGGTTCTTGCTATTCATCACTTTGAATATTTCTTGCCACTCCCTTCTGGCCTGCATAGTTTCTGTTGAGAAATCAGCTGACAGTCGTATGGGTACTCCCTTGTAGGTAACTGCCTTTCTTTCTCTTGCTGCTTTTAAGATTCTTTGTCTTTTCCTCTTGGCATTTTAATTATGATGTGTCTTGGTGTGGTCCCCTTTGGATTCTTTTTGTTTGGGGCTCTCTGAGCATCCTGGACTTGTAAGTCTATTTCTTCTACCAGGTAGGGGAAGTTTTCTGTCATTATTTCTTCAAATAGGTTTTCAATATCTTGCTCTCTCTCTTCTTCTGGCACCCCTATAATTCGATGTTAGTACGCTTGAAGCTGTCTCAGAGGCTCCTTACACTATCTTAATATTTTTGGATTCTTTTTTTTGTTTTTCGGGGTGGGCGTTTTTTGCTTCTTCGTATTTCAAATTTTTGACTTGATTTTGGGATCCTCTAGTCTGCTGTTGGGTCTCTGTATAATATTTTTTATTTCAGTCAGTGTATGCTTAATTTCTAGTTGGTCCTTTTTCATATCCTCGAGGGTCTCAATAAATTTATCGGTGGTTTCTAGAAAATTCTTGAAAAACCTTATAAGCGTGGTTTTAAACTCTGTATCCAGTAGTTGGCTTTCCTCCATTTCTGTCATTTGTGACCTGTTTCTTTGTCTCCGCATTTTTTATGTTGGTAGAGTGGCTTTGTGTGCTAGGTGTCCTATAGGACCCAGTAGCTCAGCCTCCCGAATTACCGAGGTTGACATTCTTGGTACACCCCTTTGTGGGCTTTGTGCACAGTCTTCTTGTAGTTAAGCCTTGATTGTTGTGTCACTGAAAGGAATTGACCTCCAGGCCAATTGTCTGTGAGAATCAGCTGTGGTTATGGTGGGAGAACTTCTGTGCTGGAGACACCCTTCTGGGGCAAGACTTGCTTCAGTGGGGCTTTGGTGCTCACTGAGTCTGCCCCCTGAGTGTGTCCCTTATGGATCTGAGGAGTTGTAATCTGGATGGTCCCACTCTGACCACTGGGTATCCTGCTCTTGGATCTCTAAGGAGGTGCTAATTTAGCCTCTGCCTGAGGCTACCCAGCAGGAGCTAGAGAGATCTGCAGATTCCTCTTCTTTGTTTGGGGTTTAGAGGTACCCAGATGAGGCCCAGCTGTGAAGCAATGCAAGCTGCTATGGGGCCTTGGGCCTTCTTTGGATGTTCTGGGTCTCTCTGACCCAGCTGCAGTTTGTTAGGTAATTTCAGATTGCAAAGGGCCGGGGCATTCATATGCAAAAGCCTCTGCGCACAGCTTGGGTGGGACAGGGTCTCAGGGAATCAACAGGGTGGAGCAAACAGCTATAGCTGATCCTCAGCCCTGCCCTAAGAGGCCCTAGGTCTCACTGTTCCTTGGTAATCACTGCAAGCACCTCTGAGAGAAAGCCGCTCTCAAGTTCTGCCCGATGCCAGACAGTCCAGTTTCTCCCCGTATGAGTCTGGGTCCCCAGAGACGCACCCGGAACTGGAGTTCAGAGCAGTCGGGAGCTTGTGTCTCCCTCCCGATTGAAAAAGACAGCCGCGTCCTCAGTTGCCAGCCCTTTCCACGTGCGCCTCCGTACCTCTGCACTTTACTTCCACACTGCACCTCCTCTGAGTCTCAGTGTGCTTTTCTCTTTCCTTCTAGTTGTAGAATTTCCACTCGACCAGCCTGTGGTTCTGGATGATGTCCGTTTTGTCTTTTAGTTGTATTTTTGAAGTAGTTGTGCAAGGCAGTAATTTCCAGTGTTTACCTATGCTGCCATCTTGGTTTTTCCTTGTATTTTGAATATTCATTATTATGTATTATTTTGAGTAAGTCAATAAACATTTCTTCACACACACACACACAAAAGCATATATTAAAAGGTTTAAAAACAACTGAGACACCAACTCAAGAACCTATAAAAAAGATGTTCGAGTTAAATCGCAGAGTTGAAAGGAAATAATTAAAGAGCAGAAATCAATGAAACACAGAAGAGATGAGCAGTAGAGAAAAATCAAAGGCAAAAGTTTGTTTTTGAAAAAGTTTAATACATTTGATAGGCCCCTAGCAAGACTGATAAAAAAAAAAAAGAAGACACAAATTATTAATATTGGGAATGAAAAAATACACTAAAAAAGAATTTTGAACAATTTTATGCCAATAAATTTGAAACCACAGATAAAAGGACAAATTCCTTTAAAAATATAATTTTCCCAAATGAGAAAATAGAAAACTTAAATGACTACAATCAAGGAAATTAAAAATATAATTTAAAAACCATACTACAAACAAGTCCCAGGTCTAAATAGCTTCACTAAACAGTTAGAAATAATCAATCTTATGTAAATTCTTTTCCAGAATATAAAAAAGGGAGTATTTCCCAACTTGCTTTATAAATCCTACATAACCCTGATACTAAATCTGACAGACTTTACAAAAAAAATAATATTAAAGATGGGTATTTCTCATAAACATAGACACAAAAGTCCTTAATTCATATGACTCAAACGAATATAGCCACACATAAAAATATATTATGACCAAGTGATTTAACCCAGAAATGTAAGATTTTATAAACATTAAAAAGATCAGTCAATAGACCATATCTATACTAATAATAGAGGAATATGCAAATTGTTCAGGACACAGTCACAGTAACAGTAACAACCAAATAGCAGGCTTTGTGGGGCAACAAGGCCGGCAGGGGGGGAGAGGAGGGGAGGAGGCAGTTGGGGGCAACCAGGCTGGAAGGGGGGCAATAAGGGGCGACCAGGCCAGTGAGGGGGCAGTTAGGGGCGATCAGGCTGGCAGAGAGAGGCAGTTGGGGGCAACCAAGCTGGCAGGTGGGGCAGTAAGAGGCAACCAGGCTGGCGGGGGGGGGGGGGGGGGAGTTGGGGGGACCAGGCTGGAAGTGGGGGCAGTTAGGGGCGATGAGGCCGGCAGGCAGAGGTGGTTAGGGGTGGTCAGGCTGGCGGGGGGGCAGTTAGGGGCAATCAGGCAGGCAGGCAGGTGAGCAGTTAGGAGCCAGCAGTCCCGGATTGTGAGAGAGAAATGTCAGACTGCTGGTTTAGGCCTGATCCCTGGGATCGGCAGTCGGAAATCCCCCGAGGGTTCCCGGATTGGAGAGGGTGCAGGCTGGGCTGAGGGATCCCCCTCCCCATGCATAAATGTCATGCACCAGGCCTCTAGATAACAGAATAAAAGAGTAAAACTATGTGATCATATCAATAGATGAAAAACAAACAGCATTTGATAAAAATCCAACCCCGAGATGAAACTATCAATCAAGTCTGAATGAAAGCTAACTTCCTCAAACTTATAAAGGTTATTTACTAGTATATATGTTTTTAAAACCTGAATAGCTAACATACTTAAAAATGAATACTGAAACATTGATCCAACCATTTTAACCTTCTATGAACTCAGGGCCATTAAACATTTATTTATCAACTGTGATCTAATTAAAGGATGCACTTAAACACTTATTGAAGTAAGCTCTTTGCTTCTGTAAGAAATAGCTCCCAAATATTTACTGTGTGTTCTGTTGCTCTGCTTGTTTCCTGTTGAGTTATCTCATTTCTGGCAGTACAGTTTTTACATCTGATTGTACAGCCTAGGAAACCAGATCACCAAGTTTACTAGAAGTGTGTGTAAAAGAAAGGTAAAGTGAAATTTGGGTGAATATCTGAAGACACTTCTATAAGTAAAATGATAAGTTTTAGGGTATGAACTTTGTGACATTATTTGGCTGTTGTGGTTGAAACCCCCTCCCCTTTTCTTTGCTTACTTCTATGATAAATTATTTAACTTAATAATAAGTAACTTAATGGAATTTTAACCATTAAACAAAAATATTGATTTTATTTTCACCTAACTTAAATTTTCTTCAAATAATTCTTATTGTGGGATCATAATAAGATTTCATGAAAAAAGGACTTTCTATAAGAATGTCATATATTACCTTTCGCAGTGGTCCATACTGTTTTCTGTACTTCTTGTTCCAAGATATTCCTATCTTTTTCAAAAATTTCTGGCCCAGAAGATCAACAAGAATCAGATTACTCTCCTCCTTATGAAAGAAACACAAAGTCATTTAAGAATATCTGTTCCAATTACCTACCAATGGTAAGAAGTGACCATTACAGGATGCAACGTGACCTGCACCTACACCAAAATTCCATGTTGAATTCCTAACCTTCAAAATTTCAACTGTGGCTATTTTTGGATAGGGCCTTTAAAGAAGTTAAAACAAGGCCATTAGGGTGGGTCCTAATGCAATCTGACTGGTGTCCCTACGTGGAAATCTAGGCACACACAGAGACACCAGGGATGCACATGTACAGGAAAGGCCTATGGGTGCTGGAGGCTAAGTCCAGCAGGTCGTAATAAATGTAATAAATGCGAGAAGTCCTCAAAAGGTTGAATGGACTCTTTGAGCAGAGCTGAAAATCTGCATGTTATTACCTGCTGCTGGAACAGCTGAAGGCAATTCCCCCAACTTGATGGTACTTTATTGTTTACCAAACCTTACCTTTGATATGTATATCCGCTTTGCTATAGGGCAAATGTGTGAATAAAAAGCCCTGGGTGAGGAGATTCAGGGAGTTTAGTTACTGAAGCTAAGCCTCCCCTGGCTCCCCCAAAATGCCTCCCAAATTTATATTTCATGTCTAGTCTCTTTATTAATTTATATCGCAGCCCCTTCTCCAGATTCCTGAACCCTAGCAGATTCAGGGAAAGACCCCAGCATATGGGACACAAAGAGGAGGCAGAATCTACAACAGACAAGGAGAGAAGCTGCAAGAGAAACCAAACTTTGATTGATCTTGGACTCCCAGCTTCCAGAACTATGAGAAAATAAATTTCTATTGATTTAAGCCACCCAGTCTGTGGTATTTTGTTATGACAACCCTAGTAGACTAATATGGTGACCATCAAGGACTGAGCCTAAGTCCTCAGTAAACAATTATAAAAAACTGTTTACAAATGAATGAATAAATGAAAGGAGACATACCATTTATTACAACAGGGTGAAAGGACAAAGCAGAAACATACTCCCCTCCCTCTCCCCTATCTTGCCTTGTAGGGCTGGGCCCTCAGCCCAAGCCCCCTCTTTTTCTGAGTGACCACAAGAATGCCGGTATTGACCTAACTCCCCCAACCACCACCTGAGTGGACCAATAAAGCTCCAAGAATGCAGCTAAGGTCCTGATAAGGCTATAGTGGGGGACGGCCCAAGCCTCAGAATGTGCTGGTCACTTCCTGACATTTGTGCTGTAAGACCCTGATGAAAAACCCTGACCTAAATGACCAATCTCTGTAACCCACGTCACCCCCTAAGCCCACCCAAATAACTAGCCCTATATAAACTTTGTTATCTTGGAACTCGGGGCTCTCTCTTGCATCCAGTAATGGAGGCGGCGGGGGGGGGGGGGGGGGGTGGGAACCAAGCGAGCTTGTATTAAAGACTCTCTGCTTTTGCATCAGAAGAGGCTCCCTGGTGGTGGATTATTGGGGACCCCGAACTCTGGGCATAACAAGGGTACTAAGCAAACATTAAAAGTCATCTGTATGAGGTATTACCAATATTAGGAATGAAAAAGGAGACATAACTTCAGATCCTACAAATACTAAAAGACAATATAGGAAACAGTAAATTCTAAAACAGTATGTAAAGTGAATCCCAATTCTATTTAAAATGACAATAGTAATACCAAAGAAACCCATAAACCAATCCCAAGATAAGTGTGTAAACACAAAGAAAACAGAATGTAAAGAATATAGTCAAAGTGTTAACAATGACTGAGCATTTGGTTTATTTACACTTATTATTTTTTTATATTTTTTCTAGGTGTTTTTTCTCTCTCAAGTTTTCTACTATGGATATGTATTTCTTTTAAAAGCAGAAAGTTTCCAATAAAAATAAAAGTTCAAAAAGAGATATAATGTCCAAAGGAAAAAAATAGTATCAAATCTACCTAATCAACCTCATTTACATATATCTAATACAGATACACACAAATATAAGCACACACTCTACCTGTGATAAGATTGTTTTTAGAATCATCAGTGGATCATCAATCTCTTCTTCATTCTGAAGATCTTTCAAATTCACATCTGGTTTACTTTTTTCCTCCTAGAAAAGAAAACAATAAAAAAGTTTCTATCACAGGAGAAACACTTTGTAAAGTACATGATTGTCTAACCACTATGATGTACATCTGGAACTAATACAAAGTAATATTAATATAAAATGAAAAAAAAATTTTTTAAATATAAAAAATCTCCAATTCCTTAAAAGGTAACTAACAAAATAGGAATGTTTATGTTATGGAGGTTTCAAGATGGAGAAATGACAATAAGAACAATATAATTTGTATATGGTTTTGAATTCCAGCTTTGCTTGAATAATCCTGGACAAGTTATTTTCATCTCTCTGACCTCATCTATAAATTAGGATTGTGAGATAAGTAAAGCTTCTAGCACAATACAGTGTTACAACATTTTCTCACTCAGCACTAACAGAAGCCACATTACTACATGTGGAGCAACTATTCATTAATAACATAATTAATTATTTGATAATCAAGAAGATATGTTTTTAAGTATTCTACATCCTAATTAACATAATGATTTGTATCTTACATTTTGACATTTTATTGTGTTTTAGTTACATTTAAAAAATTGGTGGAGAGTTTGGGGTTGATGAGTAATGCATCATAATTTTGCCCATTGGAAATAATTGGAACTAGAATCTCAGTTCAGGCTTTTCCTCAGAACATCTGGAAGTTCTTTTCTTGAGACTATTCAAAACTTTTTCATAAAATGTTAAAGAAGCACTAAAAAATGAAAAGATATATTGTTTTCATATGTAGATTAAAAACCCCACTAAGCATCTAAGAGAATAGCTGATTCTAGAAATGCTCAAAGAAGCATAAAGAGCAGGGATAGGCACAACCCTCCTGAAGAATAACACAGAGGGAGACCTCGCCCTACCACATGGCATGCCTGCTTTTAAAGCTCAGAAATTAACAATGTGGTGTTTGCCTAGGAATGGAAAAGAAGTATGGAGCAGAAAAGCATGTCCCAAAATGGAGTCACACATACATAAACAATTGATATAACAGGATTGGCATTCTAGATTGGTGGGTAAAATTGATTATTGAATAAATGGTAATGGGCAGTTGGGTACCCAAATGAAAAAAAAAAACAATACCACAACATTCACAGATCATTCCAGGAAGAAGGAAATTTTAAATGTAAATGAAAAACAAACTTTTAACTGGGATAAGAACATACAATACAATATACAGATGATGCATTATAGAACTGTACACATGAAACCTATATAATTTTATCAACCAATGTCAGCCCAATAAATGTAAAATAAAGGTTTTTAAAAGTAAATAAAAATCCAAAAACCCCAAACCTAAAAAAAATCCCACAAACTTTTAGAAGACAACATAGGAAGAAAATCTTCATCATCTTTGGTTGGTGCCATGAAAGACAGAAGAAAAGCTAAGGAATTACTGATTAAAGGACTTGCCGAAACCGGTTTGGCTCAGTGGATAGAGCGTCGGCCTGCGGACTGAAGGGTCCCGGGTTCGATTCCGGTCAAGGGCATGTACCTGGGTTGCGGGCACATCTCCAGTAGGAGATGTGCAGGAGGCAGCTGGTCGATGTTTCTCTCTCATCGATGTTTCTGACTCTCTATCTCTCTCCCTTCCTCTCTGTGAAAAATCAATAAAATATATTTAAAAAAAATAAAATAAAAAAAAAATAAAGGACTTAAGCAATATGCTAACTAAATGTAGTTCGTGATCCTGGACTTGATACTAGAGTGGGAAAGAAAATGCTACAAAGGATTTGGATCAGACAAATGGTGAAATCTAAATATAAATTAAATGTTAGCTAAAAAGATGGTATCAGTGCTGAAGTTCCTTATTTTGATCTCTGCTTATGTAAGGGAATGTCTTCATTTTCACGAGATAAGCACTGACGTATTTAGGGATAAACTTAACTTCAAATGGTTCAGCACTAATAATCATAATGTTAACACTGTGTGTATGTGCACGCACACGTGTGCATGTGTGTGTACAAAGAGTGTGTGCTTGCACAAATGTGGCAAAATGTTAATTGGAGAATCTAGGTGAAGAGTATACAGGACGTGTTTGTACTCTGCTGGTTATGTTTCTGTAAGTATGAAAATGTTTAGAAATAAAAATTTTAAACTATCTATACTCACTTTCGGTGCCTATAAAAGTATTCCACAGAGTGAATACATAATAAATGGCAAAAGATTATCTTCATCAAATAGGACTAAAAAAGGAAAAATATTTCAAAGATACTTCTAAACTAATGTCCATGCTCACCTGAAGTTGCCAGTTTCCCAAATGATCGACATCTTTAATATACACATGATAGTGCCCTCCGTAGCAACCACCTTTGTGTATAATAACTGAGAAGAGGTCATACATGTATTCCAAGTCATCCAGTTGACTCTACAAAAGAACATAAACATGGATATAGTTTACACAAAGTGGGAAGATACATAACCAAAGGGCAAAAGAATTTTAACTACTGAAATAAAAATTTCACTGTTTATTATTGTTCTTTAAGGGTAAATTAAGATAAATTTGAACTGACTTTAAATTTTAAAATTATTAATTCTTAGAAGATTATCTATCATTGATCCAATACCAAACACACTACACCAATCACATTCTGTGTCTTGCTTAAATATGAAAACACATACCCAAACAAGATGCTACTTTTATGTACTTTGGCTAAGATCATGTAAACCAATGTGATAACAAAACACACTTGCCTATCAGTGTGTCTGTGATCTTGGCAAGCCCATCTTTGTTATGATACCTATTTTGCCACTTTATAAATGTGGTCTTGAGCTGGTAAATTTTTCCTGTGTTCCAACTAGGTTTGTCACGTGCCTCAAAGTCAAAGCCGTATCTGTCACCGCTCCTGACATGTTGGTCCTCTGAATATAAGAGGAATTTAGCAATTATGAATACTAGCTGGGCTTGTGAGGCAGTTTAGTGGAATGAAAAAGTTTTTTGTTAATTTATTAATTCTATGATCAAACTTTTCTGTAATTAATGCGCTCTATAATATGACTGACCCAACAGATGAATACCTACACTGGCATTTAAAAGAAAAATCTACTTTAGGTTAAGAGATACTTTGCATATGGGTGCTATTTGAAGGGATCCCAATTATTTGAGAAAATGTATTTGCTTAAAAAATTATACTATTAAAGTAAGCAGCATTCTTTTTTTAAATGTCTGGTTCAGGCAAAAGACAAGAGAGATATAAACAAAGATGAGAAGTGGTAATTATTTTTCATTAACACAGATATCAAAAAGAAATATTGCAAATTCCTTGGATAAGTGCTCAATGTTCTCCTTATTTCAGTTTTGTTATTTCAAAGTATGTTAAAAATCATTTGACAAACTGCTGTTTATAAAAGGACAAAACTTTTCCTATATGAGATTGCCGGGAGCCGGTCCATGCTTGCTGTTTCAAGGGACCTGGCATATATGGCATACTGTTCTTAATATGTTTGCTCACCTTTTTGGCACTATGTGTTTTAACCAAAGTCTCTGAGAAAGGTTGTTTCCCCAGGCAGGGATTTTCCCCTGAAGTTAGGGAGGGAATAAAACCTCTTAACTAAGTGCCAGGCGGGTAATTAATCACTTTAACTACGAACAATCATGCTTAAGCTACATAATCTTTACTCCCCGGAATGGAGATAAGAAACGCCCTAACCTTTGTAATAGAGATTGATAGGATTGGAATCAACTGGTATAAATACAGATGTAACAACACAGAACTCAGAAGACAGAACCAGGAGGCACAGAACCTACACAGAACGTTCTCTAGAGACAGAAGAACTTCGCTGGAGAGAACATGGCAAAAGATCCTGGACTGAACCTGACTACAGAAATTGGCAAGAGAACCTGACTAAAACCTGGTGACTGAACCTGGCTGGAGAACCTGGACAGAACCTGGCTGAAGAACCTAGCGAGGGAACATGGCTACAGAACCTGGCTGGAGAACCTGGAGAACCTAGCAAGAGAACATGGACACAGAACCTGGCTGGAGATCCAAACCAGAACTTCGCTGGAGATCCAGACCAGAACTTGGCTGAAGATCCTGGCTAGAGATCCTGGCTAGGCTGCTGATCAACTGAACGCTGTCTCCCTAGCATTCCTTCTTCGCCAACTCCGTCCACACCTTTGGGGACCCCTGGACCTGCTGGGGTTGGACCCCAGCATGAGATGATGGATGTTAACTAAGCCTGTTGTGGCAATTATTTCATCTACATGAAAATCAAGCTATCATGCTGTACACCTTAAACTTATAAACTGATGCATGTCAATTATTTCTCAATAAAACTGGAAAAAATAATTAACTCAATTATCCTGAAAAACAGTTTTTATGTGTGTGTGTGTTTTTTTCAGGCAGTAAATGGAGGGAAAAGTCCACCAACACTGGAAAAACTATTTATTCTGTGTGTCCAATAACAAACTCAGGGCCAACACAAATTACAACCTTTGAATGTTAATTCATATAATAAAACAACCAAAAAGCTCAGTAATTACGCTTGAAGTAGAGGAAGACCCATCTAAATTTAAGAATATTTTTAAAAATTACTTTCATGCATAGAAATTCAATAGCAAGCTAATAAATGTTCTGGTTTTAATAAACATATAAAGAATGATTTGTAACAAGAAATACATCAGTCTTGTCATTGTGATCTTGACATGTATAACAATTACATAGAAAATATTTTTAAATGGCTTATAAAGTAGGTTGATTATGCAATTAATTTGTTTTCAAACTTTCTCTTGCCCAAGTCTTAAGTACTACAAATCCCAGGCTAGTGAAGTTGCAGCTACCTGTTCACTTTCTAGATGTGTAATTCATTACTACATTTAAAGTAAACTAAATCCAAATAGCAAAGTGCCAATTTAAGGTAACTTCTTTTAATGTGAGGTGACTTCTAATTTTGCTCTTAAATTTCATATCAAAGCTTTTTCAAGAGAGTTTAATAAAAAGAAGTGAGAACAAATCCATACTTTGGAAATTCAAAAGGACTGTAATAAATCAGGAGTTCTCAGCTAGAAGTGATTTTACCAATTCCCCTTCCTGCAGGAGACATGGAGATCTGACAAGGTCTGAATACATTTTTGTCACTAGTGGAGAGGAGGGGGAGGTTGCTGCTATCATCAGGTAGCAACCAGGAATGTTGCCTCACATCCTACAATGCATGGGACAGCATAGTGCCATGGCTGAGATTCTGCAATAAGCCAACTGAAAACCAGGTCAGTTAAGAATTCAATATTGAGAGGGAGAAAAAAAAGAATTTAAAAATAAAAGAGTTCAAACCTGTTCACAAAAAGGCTTGAGATTGATCCGAAGAGGGAATGTGTAACAGCTAGTTTCCTTGTATCGTTCACACTTCACAAAATCAAAATTAAATCTTAATAACGAAACAGTAAGAAAGGGAGGCAGCTTACGTAATTTGGCCGACTGTTAAAAGAAAAATTTTTTAAGTTTTTAAAAAGCAGTTGCATAAAGAATACATGTTTCTTAACATATAAAAAAGCAAATTATGACATAATTTTAAGAGGAATATGTCCTTAAATCACAAACTCATCACGATGAACTGAATATAGCCCTTGATATAAACTCATCTATTTTACAGGACTAAAAGTGGTATCACTCATTTATGCTTACAACTAAAATTTACAACCCAATTTTATGTTTTTAGTGTTCATACCCTAAAATCAAGGCTATCTGATGAGCATGTTATAACTGGATAGTCCCCTCCCTAACAATGTTTCTTTCCTGCCCAAGTCCTAGCCTTTCATCTTCTTCCTTTTATTTACTAAGAACTGGAGCTCTTAATCTGGGATCTCCAGATCTCTTTCAATGGATCTGGGCCCTTGAAATATCAAATTTGTACATGTTCATGTATTTTTCTGAGGAGAAGATCCATAGCTTTCATTAGACTTTCAAAAGTGCTCTAACTCCCCAAACATTAAGATCTACTGATTGGGGTTTTATAGTTATTGTTCTTACAAGCAGGTAAGAAGTTTTTAAAAAATTTCTTGCTTTAAAACGAACCACATAATTAAGCATTTTTTTTTTTTTTTAAGTCATCAGCTTTTAGCCCTGGCCAGGTAGCTGATTTGGCTAGCGTGTCATCCTGACATGCCATGGTTGTGGGTTTGGTCTCAGATCAGGGCACGTACAAGAGGCAACCAATGAATGCATAAATATGTGGAACAACAAACTGATATTTCTCTCTCTCTCCCTAAAATCAATTTTTTAAAAAAGTCATCAGCTTTTCCCAACCCTCTTACACTAATGGCATGTAAGGGGGGCAAAACATCCTTCCCCACATATAAAATTATCCAAAATCATAAATATTAAACATTCCTAAAAATGTATGTAAAACAATCCTAAAAATCAAGTGGATAATTAAAAAAAGTTAAATGATAAAACAGCAATTTAACCACATGGTAGATTTTCAAACAAGCTCAAAAAATAAGTCTAAGAAACTAAACTACGATGTGGCTGAGAAAAGAAAGACTGCTCAAAACAAGAAAATATGCATTAATTTAGGTAGTACAACCTAAATTTAGAATGCAATAAATCTAATGCAACTATAACTGAATGTAATTTTAAAAGTATCAAGATAAGCTCAGCTGATGTGGCTCAGCAGTTGAATGTCAATCCATGAACCAGGAAGTCATGGTTCAATTCCGGGTAGGGGGCGTGCAGGAGGCAGCTGATCAATGATTCTCACACTGGTGTCTTGGTTTTTTTTTACTTTTTAAAAAAATTTTATTGTTCAACAATATTACAAACTGTTGAAAAAAATTAGAGGCAAAGAAGAATCGAACAGACTGTCACACTGATGTTTCTATCCCTTTCCTCCCTCTCCCTTCCTCTCTGAAATCAATAAAAACGTATTTTAAAAAAGTATCAAGATCAAAATATTTCCACTGAAAAAGAATTAAACCAATGATATACAAGATGTATAAAAGAACTGCTTTTGTTTAACAAAAGGTTTTTGTTTTACTAATGTGCCAATTAAGCCCAAGTAAAACTAAAAATGTATTTAAGTATCTTTCAAAACTTTTTATCCTCTGAATTTTATATTTATTTTATTAGATTGTAGTCGTAATGCCAAAGATGAGATACAAACTAAATAAGAAAACAATAAACCTCTCTATTTAGGGTTCCTAAAGGGATAAAGGCTGGATAGAAGTATGGACTAAACAGTATAATATTTACCCTGGTTCAAATCCTATTGTGAAAGCTACAGGCATGAGTTTATTGTTTTTATTACATTTTCACCTACAATGACCAGGATCCAAATCAATATCGTGTGTTATCTAAATCATTCCTCATTTTCTTTGTTAGAAAAGTCAGTCATTATCAGCTGTAAATACGTTTTTATTGTCGTAACAGAGTAACTGCAAAGATATGTCTTTTGTGGTTGTTCTTTCAGTGAGTACTCAATAACCACCGAGTGACTCGAGCTCCAGTTCATCATGCTAGGAAGAGCCTATGATACCATCCACCAGCAGTGGAATAGTGACCACTGTGGATAACAATGGCAGCAGCGGAGTTGATGCCACACTGCAGAAAAAACCGTTGCTTACATCCTACCCTCCTTTCATCCTGTGTTTTGCTTTGCTATACAAAAAGAAACCTAGAAGTACTGTCAAGCCCTTTTATTAGGGCATATTAGATCTGCTAGAGTTGGGAAGGGGATATGTACATATATCGAAACTGTAAAATAAGTGCATATACAGAAAGTAAAGAAAGCCATCTATTTTCATAGTGGTAGACAAAGAAAGGAAAGCTCAACAAGCATCTTGGCTGGCAGAAATAAAAACATATTGCCTTCTTTGTAATGGTAATTTGCAAAAAGCAGTGGTGGTGAGGAGTTTATCAACAAAAGGTGTATTTAAGAAACACTGAGGTACAAATAAATTTTTTCCTGAGAAAGAAAGAAGTGGAGAAAATTATTGAGTTGAAAGCTTAAAAAAGCCTTTACTGTAATAATTAAAATATAGATATATAACATGTAAATGTGTTTTCGATCCTTAGTATTAATTAGCAGCTTCAGTTTCAAACAAGCTGACTTCACTTGATAGACCTTCTTGCTAAAGTACTAAGTGGGCAACCTAAGAAAAGGCAGAGTGTCTGTCTTTACCTTTGCTGCTTTCACCAGCCGGTCACAAGATCCACAGTGGTATAAGTTGTCACAATCAAACACTTCCTCTTCTACATACATGTTCCAGAGTGCATCTTCCAGACCTGTTACGTTTTTGACCGCTACTGTTAGATCTAAGAAGTCTTCCTAAAATACACATAAACATAAAACAGAAAAAACACTTTCACAGTTCACATATATATCATACACATAATGAAAATAATCAGATATATTTTTTCTAAAATACTTTACATATGAAGGTATAGATCTCCTGATCCGATATGGTGAAATTCATAACCAAATTATCTTTTCTAAAACAAACTGTAACTGAGCTTAAAATATATCAGGAACGAGTTCATTGTAGATACAATAAAACCTATTTTATCAGGAGTTAAGACAAATGACAAATATACATCTGAATTGAGAAGTGTGTACATGTAGGACTTATTAGTGTCGAGTCCCTAGACTAGAACAGCAAGGGGAGGGCTGAATACTCAAATGAAATTCTGCTTACTCATCTGATTCTGCCAGGGTTGGTTTAACACATACTGAAGAAGTTAAAAAAAAAACATAATTTTGAGCCAAGATACAAAAGTATTCTTAATGAAAATTAAGAGGATATTTTGCAAAATGGGAGTCTATAAATTATACTGTAACTTCATTTGAATTACATGTTTTTAGTAATAAAAACCTGGAAAATCTGACAAGTTTATATTTAGTTTTAATAGCATTAAAGGCATTATTGGGATTATAAAATAACAGTGCTAAGTTCATGATAGAAATCTAAAGTAATACAAGTAACATTTAGATATGGTCTGTAATATATGAATGTGAAAAGTTAATTTCTGTAATTTATCATGTGCCTTAATATACAAAATGGTTTGAAATTTGTTTGTGATGTATTATTATAGAGGTCATTATATAGTAATTCAAAGACACACAACACCTGAATATTTCCAAATTAGGCTGGCCAAACCTATTAGCACAGACAAAAAGAATCAAAAAGTATCTTTTATCCCCAGTACTCATAAAAAAATAGAAAGAGAAGAAAATATCTGTGCCAAAAAAGCAATTAATGCAACATTTAGAAAATGGCATTTAATTTTTTACTCATACTATCAAATACAGAAACTTTCTATAACTCTTGCCATAACAAAAGATTTTTATTAAAGGACAGCTGTTCAGATTAAATCATTTGCTGTCAAAGATAGGTAGAGTAAGTGGAGATTATTATATTTACATGAACAAATTTCCAATTATATTGAATGGACAATCTGTGTCATGACAAAGTATTGTAGGTTATACTGGATTAAACATGATTATAATGGCTTTATATATGTTTATATGTAATAAACATATATTTTAAAACATATAACATGTAAATATAAGCATAAATGTACAAATGAACCTTCTTAAAGACATTAATAAACTAAATCCAATATTTAATTACAAATATTTGTCAATACCCTATTTTTATTACTTCCCTAATTAACTTGATAATATTCCACCACTAACCATGATGAAGTCACTTTCTTTATTTGGCCACAGATCTCTACTTGCAAACATCTCCCAACTCTATTTTCTAACTATCAGAGTAAGGAATAAAACATTAAAACTATGTTTTAAGATATTTGCTTCTTTCAGTTTACATGAAGAAATCTGGATTATAAACTTATGACTTAGGTGTAGTGAGAGTAAAAGAAAAAAACCAATAAAGTGATTTCCAGAAATAAACAGTTTAATCCTCACATGGTACATCACAAATTTAACTGTATGAATTATTCTTAACAATATAACTTATTACTAAAACACTTGCATATTCACCTGCTTTTCACTGACATTCTTACATTCTTTACAAACAATCTGGTTAACAATGGTCCCATGATATAGACGATTGATGAGATCATGGCCGGAGGTCCCAACTAAAGAAGTTTCCAAAGCACTAAAGAGAATTCGATTCAGTTCCTGCACATCATGTTGCCTCATTTCCTATAAAACAGGTAACTTTTATATATGATTTTGTGCTTCACATTTTTAAAAACAGATTTTTAAAGTGATGTTAAAAAAAAAAAAACAACCCACAAGATTTATCAAATCCAAAGGTAAGCCTCGATCAAACATAAGGATGACTAATCTAAACGGGCTGAGAACAGGTTAAGAGACCACCACCTATTTTCAGTTTTATTACAAAACAAAAATATGAACAGGCAGAGCAGCACATCTATTTCATAAAAAAAAATCATACTTGGTTTTATTTTATACAACTAACAGCTTATTTACTTGTTGCTGTCAAATGTTCTGTGTTTGTACACAGTGCCATACCCTTAGGGACACAAAGAGAACAAGGAAAGAAAGTCTTACAATAGGACACAGGAAGACAATGAAGAGAGACAGGAGAAAGGCCGGGAAAGGAAAGTGAAAAGACCTGCCAAGGATGAGTTTATAGTTTTGCTTGAAGCATATGTTCAAATCAGAAACCCGGATTCAAAACCAAGAGCACGTCACAGAGGCAGACAGAATTATTGCTAGGCGGCTTTTTAAGCTGATCAAGCAGTTTGCTATATAAATGGTAAGCTCTTTGTAATAGGTGTTCTACCTCAACTAGTCCATACAAAGATTCTCAGGGTATAAATTGTAAAAATAAACTCCTATACTTCTCTCTGTATCCACAACCTTCTCCCCACCCCCAAATCATAACTGCTCATAAAACCCTGCAAACAAGTGTCCAAAAATATAGTTCTGGCTTGTAATTATTTAACAACAAGAGAGTAAATATTTAAATAGTATATTGAGACCCTAAAACAAAATTAAAGAAGTTAGATAACATTAAACCAGTGTTTACTCGTCACTGCCGGCAATGTTTCTTAGAGAAGCTGACCTCCGTACCTCATTGCTTGTCCACCCAAAGCTGTCAGTGAGGTCTGCTGTGGAGGCAGCTTCCTGGTCTAAGAGCAGGAGCTGAGCAAACAACCGCTGTAACTGTAAAGGTATGATTCGAACCTGAATGAGAACAAATGCATTTCTAAATAAGTCTTTTCAATGTGGTTTGGGGATTTTAAAAGAACTGCATACTAATTTTCTTATATCTCCTAATTCACTCAGTTCACCCAGAAGAAAGTTTACAAATCTTATTACAAAGGGTGATTGTTTTTCTTCAAAAATTCAATCCAGCCCTAACCAGTTTGGCTCAGTGGATACAGCGTCGGCCTGCGGACTGAAGGGTCCCAGGTTCGATTCTGGCCAAGGGCATGTACCTTGGTTGCGGGCACATCCCCACTAGGAGGTGTGAAGGAGGCAGCTGATCGACGTGTCTCTCTCATCGATGTTTCTAACTCTCTATCCCTCTCCCTTCCTCTCTGTAAAAACAATCAATTAAAAAAAAACTCAATCCAAAGCGTTTTAGCTATCTGGAGTTTTCTACCTAGACATAGTTCAGGTCAATACTAAAACCCAAAGAAGCCTTAAAAAACTACCTCATTGATTACAGACGGATAGTAATTTAAGTCTCTAATAGTTCATTCTTTCTCTAAAATGCCTCAGATACAGACATACTCTCATGAGGAATTTTCCAGTCATAGACGGGCTGCACCTGCCTCACTTTCTTCCCGTAGGTTCCAAGCCTGTTCCTGTCTTATTTGGGCTGGAAGCCTGGGCTGACAGAGAAGCTGGTCAGAGCCTAGTTTGCAGACCAAATTTAAGCATCTAAAGTGAGAATCAGCCTTTAGAAACTTTTATGGCAATCTGACATTGTCATGACATCTTTATTATATCCCACAGAAGTATAATCTGCAACAGATTGGGAATTTTTAAAAATACACAAAAACTGGCCCTTTGCTGCACAGGTGGCCTGAGAAGCACTGGGCTGGATCATGAAAGACTCCTCGTAAGAAGTACTGATTTTAGCCTGAAAGCGACAAACTTCTGAATGATGTTTAAGCAGGGGAGGAACATCATTAGATCTGCACTTATGATAAACCAATTCCTCATTCAATTTATTTCCAGAATACCGAAGTGAATGAATACTGGTTATTTGTTGTTATTACAAATAAGTGCATTAAATAGAGTTTGTTAGGCTAGTGTGGACCATTTGCAAATATTTCCTTCACCAGAAGAAAGAATAAACACAGTAGCAGCAGCAGCAGAGACATTACATTTGAAAAATTAATTGTTCCATTGTCAGTAGGGTATAAGCTAAGTCACTTTCTGAAAATAATAATCATATTTGGTAATTAATTAATAAAATTATTGATTTCTGTAAGAAATTTAATTCCTTCCTTAAAAAACACTCCCTCAGTACTCCAAAACAACAACCACCCCTGTAAATCATAGATTTAATACCTTTGCATCAGGATTATCCTTTTCCTCTAAAGAACCAAGCTCTTCTGGGCCAAGAGAAAATAAAGCTTCTAGACATAAAAAGTAGAATCAGAGATGTAAGTGACATTATTTCATTTTAGAAAACCAAGGCCACCAATAAATAAAATCAGTTAACAATTCAGCAATATGATTGCAGCAATGTTTATACCTTTACACATTTTACTTTCTAGTAATATTATTTTTAAGCATTGACTATAAAGGGCATGCTAAGGTTTCAGCATGAAAGGTCTAGAAAAGGAAAATTATTCATATAAAACTAAGAGCAGAAACATCAGAAATCTGTGATGGCCATAGGCAGTAGGTCCCTAGAGCTACCTAAGGAGTATCAGGAAATACAACAAATAATAGTTCTGTATTTGATCAACAGCAAGCCATCCTTTCCTGAGAAGGACCACCTTTAACTCTGAGATTATACCCTTCCTTTTTGGGGCATGTAAATATTTTTCCTGGGTTGAGGGTGATAACAGATGTTAGTGGTCTTACCTAGAAAAGTAAGTTGGTAACCCAAGCCAGTCCCCGGAATTTTTTAAATACAGCATCTCGCTATGCCACCCAATGAGGAAATATATGAATCTTTTGGGAAGTCTGTATTCAAACCTAGATAGGAACTCCTACTGGGAACTTTGATATACTCCAGGGAGAGAAGGGATGGGATGGGTGTTGTCCCTTACTGGCAACCACTCCTGCCTAGTGATTACTATTGTGAATGTTATACTCCTCCGTAATTCCTGGGGGGAACTGGGAAAAAATGAACTACAAGGACTTTTACAATCATCTCCCACTACTCTCAGCAACACTAAACTGGGAGTACAGTGAAACCCAATCTAGCCTAACTCCATAAAATGATTCCAAGAAGCTCCAACACTTTCCTCCCCCAGTCCTTACCCTTTCCCAATTATACTTCCCCTTCAATAAGCACTGGGATTCATGCCAGGCCTTACAAGGAGTTCACAATCCCCACTAAGATATCAACCCACATGCTTGGCTGGTGATCCCCTTTGCTAAGAAGATGTCCTGGGACTCTCAGCCCTATTCTTGCTTAGGGGTACTCATCATGACCTGCTCCACCCCAAACACCTGCCTCAGTCTCTTTTTAAGGCTACTTTTCTACTTTAAGTTGCCCTTTAACTTCAACAATATTAAAACTTGGAAAAGTTCTATCTCCGCCCCCCCCCCCCACCCCCAAGGGATCTACTAAAATCCGACAGAAAAATTCCGACAGAAAAATTCTTATGGTGGAATTACTGAATGCAACAGGGAGAGATTTTTATGGTGGGGATGGAGTCAAGAAGAGGCCCCACTCTTAAATCCCATATGCAGTCCAATCCACTAGAATGGCCCTCGGAAGGGGACACGGTAAATATTTACTAAATCTCTGGAGGGAGGAAGTCTTTCTTAAGCTCAGAAGCAACAGAGAATGTTACAAAGATTTGATAAACGTGCAGTGGTGGTAAGGGGAATGTGGCAGTAGACACCGAATGAACCAGGTTGTCCGTCCTCAGAAAACAGAGACACTGTGGAGAGCTAAACTACAAAACCACACAAAGCTGGGGGCCCCAGTCAGGGTCATGTGAAGGCAAAATAACGTTCACCCTGAAATCAAGACAACGCGGAGGTGAAGACTCCTGTGGAGGAAGCTAGTCTGCAGAGATGGGAATGGGATAAACATGCAGAGAGAAACAGGAGCAAGAAATTAGGGCCCGAAAAGGTTGGGCTGGCTTCCTGTAGGTCATTTCTGGGATATTTCCTTACATTCTTATAATAAATTCCCTTTGAAATTTAGTTAATTTGAGTGGGTTTCTGTTCCTTGCACACAATCCCTTTGTCTAACATCTTTCTTGGGTTTTTGAAATTCACTATTTCCAGATTTTAGAAAGATAATATGAAGAAAAGGTTAACATGATGTTAACTTTACACCCTCAGCAGGGTCTGGGACAAACAGTACCTGTTAATCAAGAAGATTAATATTCCTGTAACAAATGAATGAATATTCAACCGAGTGAATATTATAACTAGACTATAAAAGGCTTCACATCAGGTCAGGTTCTAACACTCAAACAAATTTAGATCATATCAGGTTGTCAGAGTTTTCTGAATTGCAGAACGGCAGATTATGAACTGTTTAAATAACGTGACACCCCTCCCCATCCCAAATGATATAATTGCTTTGGGTAACTCTGGCTTATGTGTTTATTACTTTGGAGAAATTTTAACACTCAAAAATACAAATAGTATAACAATAATGAAGGCCAGTACTCATGACAAAACTGTCTTTATGTTGTCTTTTCAATGATAAGAATTAGAAAAGTAATACTGCCTTTCTAAATTTTGTTACTAAATATTACAGGGGTTACATAGAATATACTTAAGATAACTTAAGCTCCACATTACCACTTTGTGTGTCACAATAACAACAAACACAGGCTGTAGAATACACCTTTACGATACTCTGTCTCTTTGTGATCTTGCACAACGGCTTGGAGATGAGGGTTACGGGCTACTAAGCAAACGCACGTGATATAGCATACCTCTGAATTCAGGTGTAAAATGAAGAGTCTGAAGAAGGGAATTGAGGTAGCAAGTTCCACCCTGATTTCTGATTCCGCTTAAATTGGTAAACTCTCTAGGAGCAGGTGGCTCCAGTGGTTTGGCCTTTAATTCTTTTCCTTTTCCATACTGATTAGTAGTTGATACACTGGAATAATCCTCTTCAAATAGGTCCCCAAACATTGTGAAACTAAATATTACCTTTAAGAAAGAGGACATGTTATAAAATGCTTTTATTTTTACAACAGACTTTCTCCCCGTCGCCCTCCCTGATCCCTGGGAGTCTCTATTTCCAAGTCTTCCCCGGGCCAGTGACTGAACCTGTGTTCCTTCCCCGTAACATGGGATCCCACCTAGCACGCGGAGTCACTGAAACAACCAAGCGACGGTTAAAGAAAGGCGCTGAGTGCACAGGGGCTGGCTCACCACGAGCCGCCGCCGTTCTTAAAAAGGCATCCTGGCCTCACGAAGGAAAACAAAGGAAACCCGTCGCCACAGCCGACCTACTGCCGGGCGGCGGAGGCCAGCCTGGGCCCTGAGAGCCGACCAGGACCCGGGGCGGTCAACCCCTCCCTAAAATCTCTGCTTCGCATACTCCTCCTACCGGATCATGACACTGGAATGAATTCAACGGAGCTAATTACCCTTTACCGCAGCTAAGTGCGTGGCCCGCAGGCTGGAGAGTCGCGAGGAGGTTCACGACCATGAAAATTACGGAGCAAAAGGCCGGGGTCGGTGCCCGGCGGTCCTGACGTCGGCCCCAGGGACCAGGCCACCCGCTCCGGGCCTCCCGTGAGTGCGGCGCGGCGGAGGGCCGCCTGGAAACGAGAAATGCAAAGCTCCCTGCACAGCGCCTAAGTGACGGGAAACGCTGAAATGCACTTATTTTCCTGTTCAACGCTTTCCTCAAAAGAGAAGCACAAGCAGTGGAACTCAGAAGTCCGACCTCGAGCTCGTGGCCGGGACTCCCGCCTCTCCCACTCCCGGCCTAGGCCAGGCCCTCGGGCCCTCCCAGTCACCCCGTGCCCGGGGCGCGAGGAGGCCGAAGTCCTCCTGCCGAGGACCACTGACCCGACGCCAGAACTCCGCGTCCCCGGGCCGGCCCGGAAGTCCCTCGCCTCTCCCTCCTCAGGCCGTGCCGCCCACACGGTCCCTACGCCCCCCAGATCCCTCCCCAGAACCCCGGCCGCCAGCTCCACTTACTGCCTAAAGCCCAGACCCCCGCCCCGGCCCAAACCCGTAGCGAACAGATGCGCCCCGAATAGGCGCCGCCATGTTGGCGCAGGCGTGTCGCCGGCAGCTTCCAGCGTGAGCAACTTGTGGAACCCGGACTACGCGACCCAGGATGCCCCGCGGGAGCTCCGGCCTTATGGGCAATGTAGTTCTTTTGTCCCGGGCGTTTGGGAGTCGGGGTGGGAGGGGAGCGCTTGCTTTCCCCGGTCAGTTCGTCAGTTCGTCCGTTCCCGGGTCCGCAGGCCCTATAGGTCAGGTGGTCGCTCATTCAATCACACTTAAAATTTATACTTATTGCTGTTGGCAGTCCGCACTAGTTGCGGTGGAATACCCAAAGATCACTTGTCTTTTGCATTGGCTAATTCCCAAATTACCTAAACAAAGGAAACATTTGTGTAAGCCTTCAGCTTGGCTATGCACTTTCAAAGACATTCTCCAGTGTACCTCTAGTAAAAAATGTACCACGTAGCCTTGAACCTTTATAATAACCTCAATGTTTGTTTTGTCTGCACCAACTCTAAATACACAAGAATACACTAAAAATACCTCGAAAGTATCCTCTCTTGCTGACTTGAATACCTTTAGTGGACTGTGTCAGCAGCTTATGTATGTAGGCCTGACTTCTGGCATCTCCCCAATCCAATCCAGCTTCCACCCTGGAATGAATGAGGAAGACAGGGAGAAAATCCTCTGGACTTCAGCTAAAGGCTGGAGAAATCGAGAATAGCTGCAAGGCAGGAGTCCTAGTGAATGCCAGACTAAGGGATTTGTAGAAGGAATACTTGAGGGAGACTCCTGTAGCTGGAGTGTTCCAAAGTATTGGTAGGGAAAGGCCTGGAGGCAGCGCACCAGCTAAGAGGTCAAAGGTCTAGGAAACTGCAGTGGGAAAGTCTGTTCTCAGTTCTCATTAGTCTTCACTTGGCCACACTGCCCCTTGGCTTCAAGACTCTCCTCCCTGGCCCCATGGCAGACTATCCTATTGCTTCCCTTTCTGCACTTTGCTTCTCTTTTACCGGCTGTGCTTCATTCCCCTCTTCCAAATTGTAGATATTCCTCAAACTTCCATTCCCTGATCAAGAATGAGCACCAGAAGGTTAGCTCCATCAGGTCACGGGCTGTTAAAACCAGAACGATTGTTGGCATGGAGACTGAGATGTCTCTGAAATGAGTGCATCTGCCCAATTCCAGAAAGTGATCATGAGATGGACTATGAGGAGCCAGACAGGTCAGCAGGTGATTAAAAACCTGCTCTGTAAAAGAAAAAGACCAGAGAAGTGTGGAGAAACACGGGGCTTGGTTGGAAAGTCTGTAAGGAGGATTCTCCGAAAGGTCAGTGGCCTCTAGGGGAACCTTGCTGAAGGCGGCAGCCCCTGCCTTGACTTTTCCAAACAAGTCCGAGCCCCCGGGTGTTTTGCTGGAATCTTGTCGGGGTCCGACCCCAGCAGGTCCAGGGGTCCCCAAAGGTGTGGACGGAGTCGGCGAAGAAGGAATGACATGGAGACAACGTTCAGTTGATCAGCAGCCTAGCCAGGATCTCTAGCCAAGTTCTGGTTAGGATCTGTAGCCAAGTTATGGTTCAGTTCTCTCACTAGGTTCTCCAGCAAGGTTCTCCAGGTTCTCCAGCCAGGTTCAGTCGCCAGATTCTGTAGCCAGGTTCTTCAGCCAGGTTCTGTCTAGGTTCTCCAACTAAGTTCTGTAGCCAGTTTCTGTCCAGGATCTTTTGCCATGTTCTCTCGCTAGGTTCTGTCTCTAGGTTCTGTCTCCAGTTTCTGTCCAGGATCTTTTGCCATGTTCTCTCCAGCAAAGTTCTTCTGTCTCTAGGTTCTGTGTAGGCTCTGTGTCTAGGTTCTGTGTGTAGGTTCTGTCTCCAGTTTCTGTGTTCTGTTGTCTTGTTACATCTGTATTTATACCATTTGATTCCAATCCTATCAATCTCTATTCCAAAGGTTAGGGCATTTGTGATTGCCATGCCAGGGAGTAAAGATTATGTAGCTTAAGCATGATTGTTCGTAGTTAAAGTGATTAATTACCCGCCTGGCACTTAGTTAAGGGGTTTTATTCCCTCCCTAACTTCAGGGGAAAATCCCTACCTGGGGAAACAACCTTTCTCAGAGAGGTGACTTTGGTTAAAACACATAGTGCCAAGAAGGTGAGCAAACATATTAAGAACAGTATGCCATATATGCCAGGTCCCTTGAAACAGCAAGGATGGACCGGCTCCCGGCAGAATCTCTATGTTTAGTCTTTAAACCCGACCTTGTAGAAGCATGTGCTTTCTCAAGGATACTTACCCTGCTGATTGTATCTAGAGGTTAATTTTAGTTCAAGCTGTTATTACAATAAAAGTCTAAGGAGGCAGGCACTCAGAGCTGTTTTGGTGCCTCCTGCCAAGCAGCCCCTTAGCCTCTCTTTCACAGAAATGTGTGTTAGAGTAATCCATTCATCCATCCCTCAGGGTCTGCTGGCCAGTCCCAGCAGAGAAGTTTGGATCAATCACTCAGGCTGAGGTTCAGCGGTTCCCTGGCAAGGAGCCATAATGAGTTGCTTTTTTATGTTTTCATTCATTCATTTATTCGTTCATCCATTCTTTAATAAATATTTAGTAAACATCTTTATTTATTTAATGAGCATCTACTAAGTGGCAGGCAAAGGGCTAGAAGTTTGAGATTTAATGTTTATCTGACTGATATAGGCCCCTAAATTCATAGAGCTCACTTTATAGTGAACGAAACTAAGAAAAAGCTACATGATAGCTGTAGTGATAAGTAACTTGGGGGAAATAACAGAGGAATGTGACAGTAAATGGCAAGGATGGGGGCTGTTTCTGATACTGGCCTCAGAGCAGACTTCTTAAAGGAGAACTTCCCAATGAGGAGGCACAGGAAGAGCTCAGGAAAGACCCCTCCAGGCTGAGAGAACAGCAAATACATAGGTCCTGAGGTGGGAAACTGTCCTGTTCCAGACATAGAAAGGAGGCCTTGAATAAGTGGAGAAAGCAAATGGCAACTGGTTAAAGAGGTGGACTCACCCACCATTTGGCCAAGGCAAGGATGTTTTCTAATTGCAGTGGGAAGCCATTCGATGGTGTTACGCAAAAGATAGCATAGTGATTGATGTTTGAACAAACCCCGCTGACTTCTGTCTTCAGGGCAAAAAGGAAAGCAGAAAAACTAATTTATGAGGCAGTTCTTGGAGTTCAAGTAAGAGACGATGGTGGAATGATGTCAGGCACTAGATAGCGGGGTAGATGTGAGATCTACTTTGGAGGTAGGACGAGACATGGTCATGTGGTGGCTTTGTAATGTATCACCTGGGCTAAGCTGAATTTTGTTTCCCAGAATTCCCTTCCTATTTCTGATTAGGGTTAGTCACAGAGACATTTTTACCTGAAATTGCAGGAGCAATTTTTGTTTTCTTACATGCAGAAGTATGGGACAGGCACTTCTGTAGCTCATACATGTTGTCACCTCTCTGCAGACTCACCTCATTGGCATGAAGCAGCAATTGGACCTGCACCTGCCCTTCCTTGCCCTGACTCCTCCTTCAGCTTCTCCCACACCTGGGCTAGGTGTGTGTTTAGCTCGGTGAGGAAGAGCACCAGCTTGTCCTGCAGGACCCCCACATCATCAAGGTTGGAGGTAATAAGAACACTTCAAGATTCTAGTCCCTTCTTGTAGATCCAAGTTCATTCCTGGGGATCCAAGCTTATTGATTCCTTCCAGAAGACCCACCCTGGTGTCCTTAAACTCTAGCATCATAGGCAAAGATTGTTTACAGAGATACATTCAACCAGCTCCCACATGAGTCAAATCCCTATGACAAATCCCTGACTATTGGTAGTGTTGGTGGTTCTGCTTCTCTGATTGAACCTTGACTGACACAGCTTGAATGGAGGGGCTGTGGGAGAGTGATGCCTTGTACATTATTTTACTTAAAACACCAGGTAGATGAAAATAGCGTTTACTGAGCCAAACTGGGAGAGGAGGAAAGCTCTGGTAGGGAACTCAAAAGTGGTGTTTTGGATATATTAACTCTTAGAAGCTAGTGAGGTAAAATTGGAATGCTATTACAATGTAATTTGTATGGCCAGAACAAATAAATTAGGATGGGGGGGGCAATTTTTGAATTGTTATTATAAGGAAGAGCTTCCCCAAAGTCTGGGATGTCTACAGATAAAATAGCTTACTTCAGAGATGGGCTAAAGAATGGCCATGTGGCCCTTGCCAGTTTGGCTCAGTGGATAGAGCATTGGTCTGTTGACTGAAGGGTCCCGGGTTCGATTCTGGTCAAGGACATGTGCCTGGGTTGCGGGCTCAATCCATAGTGCGGGACGTGCAGGAGGCAGCTGATCAATGATTCTCTCTCATCGTTGATGTTTCTATCTCTCTCTCCCTCTCCCTTCCTCTCTGAAATCAATTTTAAAAAAAATTTTTTTTGAGGAAAGAATGGCCATGTTGACAGGAGAGGAGATCCAGGCAATGGATGGGTACAAAAGTGTACTTAATTTTAAATAGCCTTCTAAAAATGTTTTTCACTAAAACTTTAGTCATAAGGCCTCCTGCATTAAAGAGAAGCACACCACATCTACAGTGACCCCCAGATGCCTGTGGGCCCCACCCCTGCAAGCAGTAATAATTTGGGGCCAACTCTTTTAAGGTTCATGATTACTCTTACAAAAATTAGGATTTTGACCCAAGTGGTTGGCAAAGGTAAAAAACCATGAACCTGGCCTGAAAAACTTGCAATTTTATTGGCATTTTTGTTTCCTTATCTATGCTGTTACTTAATCTATTTGTTATGCAATCTGTACCCAAATGCTATAAACAGGAACGTTTTAAACTGAAGGTCATGTGTTATTAGTGGATTATCAAATTTATTAAGAAGGATTGTGATTAGCATTTAAAGAGAGAGAGAGAGAGAGAGAAAGAGAGAGA